GGCGAAACGAATGTTGCCCCCTAAAATTATTCCTCATAAGGCATACATCCCACTAGTTTATTTCAAAATTGGCGAGTCACACTTCCCTAGTTTCCCTTGTAAGCATAAATTGAAGCAATGATTTTAAAAAAAAAAAACATTACTAAAAAAATATTATAATTTTACTTCGCTTGATCTATCCGTTTAAATTTCATGTGGTAGGATATTTTACAGGCCAGTCAAGGTTAAACAATAATTTTATGGATCGCTAGAATTATTGAAGTTCAATGGACTTATAATTTCATTTTTGAGTGTCTGGCGAAACGTTAGCACTGTAGAACACACCTTTGTAGAAACAGCTTTCTTAAAATTGCTGAGCAATCTAACCAATTGTTTTCCCTTTTTTATTGTTTTAGTGTCAGCAATTGAACCAGGTATTCAAACAAACCGCCCACGTTGAAAGTGTACAATGTTCTGTTTTCTTTTCCGTTTTCTCAGTTCAGTAAAACTTAAAACTATTTTGAGCTTCATACTGAGTAAAAAAGAAATAAATTAATTTTTGAATTTTGGAACGCTTTGCTGCGAAAAAATCTAACCAAGTGAATGGTCTAATGAAGTGAAAATTACGAAAACAATGTAAACTTGTGTCTTTTAAGAACGTAAAAAATTAAATTATTTATCAGAATTTAATTTATTTTAGGTAATTCTAAACTATCAAAGAAGCTTAAAAAAATAAAGCTAGTTTCTTTCAGAAGATTTAGCCAACCAAAAGAAAATTTTTTTTTAAAGAAAACGTTTTAGTTTTTATTAATTTAAGTACGATGAATGAAAGGAAAATAATAACCGATTTTAATTTTTATGCCATTTTTATTCTTGTAAGATAAAATAGACAACATTTCCTTACTAAGTAAAGAATTCTGAAATTCCAAAATTCATTTATTTTGGGAATCCTTAAACGTACCTGAAGTATCACTCGCAAATCAAGCTGAATTTTTTTTTATATAGTAGGTTTTGAAATAATGTATACAAAACATCTCGTCTATTTTCATATCGATTACAGAAATACTAATTATTGACAATGAAAGCTTTGGCTAAAAAGTTTGTAAAGAATCGTAGTAATTTCTCCAAATGTGCGATAAATAATGCAGTTGGAAAACACACGTTTAGGATACTTATAAATAAATTAGAAACTTTTGTGCAACTAAAATTTACTCAAATAAATTACGTAAAAAAATTCTTCTATAGATTATAATGAGTGAAAATTAAGCTTAAAAATTAGTAAGGAATATGATAGTTTTTCCTGAAACTCGATAAAAATATTCAGAAGTATCCAGACCCTTACCTAAAATTACTTACCAACCTTTGCTCTAATGTTATAAGCGGGCCATGCTTCAGAGGTACAGTTAGTTATCTTATAATATATTTTGATATGTCCTAAATAGCCAAAAACGTAAAATTAGCAATCTTTGAAAGTGATTGTGATAACAAGAGTTCAAACCTAAGTCCTTACTTCAAGAGTTCAAACCTAAGTCCTTAAAGTAACCTTAAGTCTGTCATGTGTTTAATTATCTATGGTTATACTTAAAATGAAAACTTTCGGAATCATCAACAAATCTCTCTTATAATACTTTAAAATCAGTAAAAAAAATTACATATTAATTTGCAGTATCTATTGTTTAAGGGATCCATTTTATTAAAATTACTAAGTTGCAGGTAAATCTAACGTTACGGTCTGCAAATTCGAAGAACAATTCTAAGTGAGATCGTAATTGACTGTAACTCCTCTGCAAAACTAAAGTTACTATTAGAGAGTAAGATTTTAAAAAGAAATTTGTGTTCCATTTCCTCCAGTCAAAAGATCGAACTGTAAATAATAGCCACCCGCTGAAACACTTTTAGAGAACTTCCGCCTGCCGATTTTATCAAAAACGCCGGCAGCTGGACACAATGCTAGGGAATACGGAAAGAAGATGGCGGAGTTTATTGAACCTTTAGCATTTGCTATGACTGGCCATCTTTTTATTTGTTTTTTTAACTCCCCGATTATGGTCATTCCTCTGTTTGGTGAACAGACCCCATTACACTGACATGGGTTGCTTTTAGCGATTGAGTGAATGTAAAATTGAAAGTTGAGATGATTGTTTTGGCGTGAAAAATACCCACTTTCGAATGCACGCTAGCTTGGCGGTGCCTTTATCGTTTTTATTCAATCCGAATTCGTAAATATGAAATACAATAAATTAAAATTCTTGTGCCTCGTTTGATTTGAGAATAATTTGAAAATCGTTTGATCGAACAAGTTTTTAAAAAACATATTGTTCAAAGACATTTTTTTTTTTAAATAAGCCTTGGCTTAAATAAATTTCACAGTTTGTTAATTCTTTAATTGTCTTCGATGTAGTGATAGTTTACTTTGTTAATTTGTAATCATATTATATTTTTAAATTAATGTTCTAGATCTGTATATAAGAATTTCTTTAGAAACATAATCGTTGAAATCGTTTGATTGAACAAGTTTTTAAGAAACATATTGTTCGAAGACATTTTTTTTTAAAAAATAAGCCTTCGCTTAAATAAATTTCACAGTTTGTTAACTCTTTTAATTGTCTTCGATGTAGTGATAGTTTACTTTGTTAATTTGTAATCATATTATCTTTTTAAATTAATGTTCTAGATCTGTATAAGAGAATTTCTTTAGAAACATGTTCGTTGAAATCGTTTGTAAATCGTTTGATTGAACAAGTTTTTAAGAAACATATTGGTCAAAGACAATTTTTTTAAATAAGCCTTTGCTTAAATAAATTTCACAGTTTGTTAATTCTTTAATTGTCTTCGATAGTTTACTTTGTTAATTTGTAATCATATTATATTTTTAAATTAATGTTCTAGATCTGGATACAAGGATTTCTTTAGAAACATTTGATTTCTGTAAATTTTTAATCTTTCCTTCGTTTTTTTTCTTTCAAAAATGATTATTAAAAATAAAACAAAACTTTTCTTCCCGCTGTATAAAGTTTTTGTTATGCAATAAATTTTCACACAATATTGAATTTTCACATAAAAATAACTTATATTAAAACAAATAAAAATAATACTTTATTTTTCAAATATTGTCCTTTTAAAATTGAGAGGTTGAGACTCAATTTCAAATTTATGCTTTGATTGAAAAATGCTTTTTTGCTGTTAAAATTTTTAGATTATTGGTTTAAAACTTATTGGTCGCAGCATTTGTCGTCTCCATTATAAAATACCTATATTACCTAAAACAAAATGTTAAACTGTTTAACAACAATATTTTGCGCTTAACGTTTCTGTTGCCTTTTATTTTCGTTTGATACAGCCTGAAACATAAAAAAATAACTGTTCTTAGCGTTTTTTAATACTTAGAAACCATGTATAAAAAAACGTAATACTTAGAAGCGCAAAAATTCAACTAATTCAATTCGGAAGTAATTTCCTCGTTTAAATAGTAATCATAAATTTATTAGTATTAGTATACAACTGTTAAGTGCTGTGTGAACCGAAGTGCTTTGAATTTAGTTTTAATGGCACTAAAATCAGACTCGGCTCTACTACGCCAAATGGGAACTGAAGTACGCACTTTAATTAAGCTGCTTAAACGTTAATTGTTGTAATTCGAATTTTATGCGAGTCGTTTTATCTGGATAAAATATAGTAGGTATTCTAGTAGTCATTGCTTTTATTTACCAAAACTCGGCAGACTAATTCGAAGAACTCGGCAGACTAATTGATTTTAAGAATTTTTCTTTATTTTTTCACTACATGTACTTGATATATATTTTATAAACATCATTTTCTTTGGTTTGATAGTTGCTTGCGGCAAGCACAGTGGTCAACAAATTCCATTCTTTATTTCGCAGGTTTTATTGAAATTCCAAATGTGTTATAATTAAACAATATTAGATAATATCCTCATTGGTAGCCGGATCATGGTTTAGAATCCCCTTACCGTCAGGCTAACCGTGGGAGGTTTTAGTGGTTTTCCTTTCCATATGATGCAATAGCTGGTTTATTTCATCAAAACGTCCTCCACGAAGGCAAGTTTATCTCAGAACTCGATCTAAGAGATCCCTTGTCTTCTGGATTGGGTTCAAAAGTACAAGGATACAGAGCCGTTAGGGATATTGGTAGTCGTAAACTCAAAATTGGGTCGGGTGTTCAACGACGGTTATAAAATAAAATAAAATATTTTATACATATGAGCACAATGGCAAATTTGTACTGTTCGTTGAGTAATGCGTACAATGTGCTGAGTAATGCTCTCAATGTGTTCAGTAGTGGGATGTGTACAATGCCAAATGTGTATATACAAAAACAAATTATAAAAAAATGGATAAATAATCTGTGTGTTTAGTAACCATCACCCATTATATATGTTTTTAGAATACTTCGCATATCAAAGTGAAATTTAGGTATGATACACATTAGAGGTCGCAGAGTATTATTTAAGCGAAGATAAAAAGAAAACGCCATTTAAAAATGGCGAATCACTAATGAGGAAGACGAAATTCAAAACCTGCTTGATTGCTGGTTGAAACTTGAAGTTTTTTCTAATAATCATCTTTCAATTTCTTTGTCCCTCGTATGATATTTTTAATGCCACCTACCTAAATTTTAATTTGCCAGATTTCGGTTGCATTTTTTTATCGTTAAAAGATTAACTTGCGATCCCAATTATGCTTATTTTCATTTTACTTCCTTTTTGACGAGCATTATTAAAATATATATTAAAGGTGATTATTGTGAAACAACCTGTAATACTGTACCAGGGATGGATCATTTCATAAATTTTAGATATCCTTTTTGCTCCAGTAGCCCTCTCTAATCCGACCTTAAAATATGTATATTATTGCTATTAAATTAAGTTTCCAAACTCAACGAAAATGTAAATGGTCATAGTTTCATAATTTGTAACTTATTTTATTATGAATTTACATGATGTAAAATATTTTTTCTTTTCTTATTTTTTTTGGTGACTAATTGTATCCTTTTTGTTGTAGGCTTTCACTTCACTTTCACGGTATTTTAAGTTATGGCAAGATTAGCAGCATATTACCAGGAAGATTTCCAGTACCGTCCTGAGAATTACGTACCGAAGCATCGAAAATCTTCTTACGTCTACTACGAAGAGCCACTAAACAACGCATTCAATAACTTTGCCCTCAACGGTGAAAGACGCCGAAACTTAGCACTTTCAGAACCTTCCCTATCACCATTATCGCACGCGTGCAAGCCAGACAGAATGACTCTGAAGAACAAGCCCATTGTATACGGCAGCCAACTGATTGAAAACTCCCATCCGCCAATGCAATACTTCGATAACGATCACAACATGCATTATTCTAATAACCGATTGACAAAACTACAAACGGATGCTTATGACAATGAGCCTTACTATCATGATGACAGGCAACTTTACGGCGACAGATCGAGGCATTGGCCCACGTCCAAAGATAAACTGAGCAAGAGGTTTTCGTACGTTGAGCCACGTAATAATAATCACGATGTCTACCTTTCTCAACACTATGATAGATCTTCTCAGAGACCGATGGTGTCGAATTTTGATGTTTACAATAATAGATATCATCATCCAGAAGAAATTTATTATGATTCGCCCCAAAACAGCCTAAGTCCTTGTTCTCCTGTTTATTACCATAACGGCACCAATAATGAACACTGGCAACAGTGGCCTTTTGTTCCAGAGGAAGTGTTTACAAACCAAAGGCTACTTTCACCTCCTTCTCCTCTGGATTCTGGTCTGAGCTCGCAATCTATAACTTCAAGTCCTAGTTTAGAAGCAGATTCGTTCCCCAGTCGTTCTGATTCTGTTGCTGTTGGCGAGCGTCTCTGCTCTTGCCCGAGTGTTCATTACCCTGATATAAATTGTCAAAGACCCAATCTCAGCCGGCATGATTCGGGACGAAGTTCTGGTGTGTATCCTGCCTATATACATCAAGGAGAGTCTTTACGGGTAAAAAATGGTGCAAGGCACATATCACATTCTAGAGACGATACCGATATCAATGGATATCAGTCTAGTCAAGTCCGATACGGTAAACTTGGACTTATAGGAGAGCATATAAATAATGGATCTGCCAGCAACAAACCAAAAAAGAATCACCAGAGCTTATGTCGGGCTGAAAGCCGGCGCAATGAAATTTCTTACAAACCCTATAATTCGTGTAATGTATCTGATAATGGTGGCTCGCCAATCAGAAGGACTCCGTCAAGAGCCTCAGAATCTCTAAAGAAAAATCCAAAGTTCGAAAGACCATTTGTTGTTATTACTGAAGCGTCTGAAAAGAGCACAGACAGTGACGGACTGATGTCTCCTGAAGGAGACAATTCTGAAAAAAGCGACGACATGGAATCATCATCATCGACTAGTGCCACTGTTTCCGACTCATCATCAAAATCTTCCGTTGCATCGAGCAGCAACGATTTAAACTGCAACCGTAAATCCAAACGAACAACAGAGAAAGAAATTCGCGAACTTGAAGACATGTATGAGAAGTGTAATTTAAGTGACGTTGATCTTCTAGATCGAGCTGAACGCAGAGATTTACCTACTGCGCACCAAAAGGCATTTCACCAAACAAATCGAAAACTTAAAAGAAGTAAAAGTGACACTATTTACGAAACTTTGAGTCCAATGTTTCACAATCCTTATGAAACGCATCAACGTGCTCCTCCATTTCGCAGATCTGGATTACCTGACAGATTAGCCGATGATATGGCTTTGAGAAAACTTAAGAAATGTGCAACAACATCGTCATCAAACGCGACAAAGAACAGCATAACTTATATGCTATGCTCTTCCCATTTTACTCCAACAGTTCCTTCTGGAAAAGATATTCTTTTTATGGATTGTCCAGACGTGGAATATGATGATTTATCATATAGAAAACATTATTTTGGGAAGAAAAGTAAAATACCCGATCCACAGCCACCTTTTGGGATACCTTTGAGGCCTCCTCCACCACAGAAAGTGTTTACTGACTACTTGCACGCAATTCCATCGAATTGCCCACAACCATTATGCCATCCAAGGGGAAATCCAGATGTCGTTCGAGATGATGTAGCATTTAGAGCTTTGCGAAAAGATGAACCAGAGAGATTATATTATGATATATCTCAACTTTATAGAGTTAAAAGACGCTAAAAGTTAACTGGTTATTGTTTGCTGAATAGTCCTAAGTGCAATATGTAGAGTTAAGTTCTCGAAATGTACCGAGTCTTATCTGTGTATATGTTGTGAATCTCTGTTTATTTTTTAAAAGTTACTTAAATTCTTTATTTTTGTGATACTTAGAATTTTATATCTAGTGAGCTTTTATATTATATAGGACATTTGGATACTTTAAAATACTTAAATTATTATAAAACTATTTTACAGTTTTTTTTAATAATTTACACTTCTCATATTTCATTATTTTAATTAAATGCAGAAACAAGTTTATACGATAATGCAGTGGTTCCCAACTAGAGTTTCTTGGAAGGGTCGCAGGGGTTCCGAGAGTTTAAATTTTTTACATTAAAAATTTTTGAAACTTGTAATTATATTTATATCAAAACAATGAACGGTAATTTATTTGATAGTTTGACTGATTTTTATGAATTTATTTAAGCAAAATGTCAGTAAAAAAAAAAAAAAATTATAAAAAAATTTCATCAGTATTTTTCGTCGAACTTTTTAATTCAAAATAAAATAAATTCAAGAATAACGAATTATGTTTCTCTGACAACTATTTTCAAGGTTAATAAAGGTTCCTTTTCGAAAACCATAATTCAGCTTATTTTATTCATTTTTAGCCAACGTATGCATCAAAAACAAATTCAGAAATAGACTAAATACTACACCAAGTTCGCGAATTCAACTGTTAGACCTAAAACCTATTTTAAGAATTTTATTGATAAAACGATTACTGAAAAAAATTTCATTCTTTACATTAAATATTATTAAAATAATTGGTAGTCATTCTTTTGTCAATTTTTTCACGGCTGCTTATAAATGTTATTTATATGTTTGGGGTTCCGCCAAAAGATGCTCGATCATTTAGGGTTCCGTAGAAATTACGTAAAAAATTGGGAACCACTGCGCTAATGTATATACTATATGCCCATACGAACTATAGACTAATATATGCCCACGCCCCTCGTAATATATGAAGGCAACTTTTTTTTTACGTTTGGTACTTTTTTATTTTAAGGAAATACAAAATGTTCTCTAAATACAATTTGTGTCTATTTTTTTATGCTGGCCAAATTGGAATTAATTACGCTTTACATTGCAATGAACATAACATAGCGAACATTCAATTACGAAATTGAAAAAAAATAATACTATGTGTCAATAATACTATGTCTTTATGTGTCAATAATACTATGTCAATAAAAATAATACTATGTTTTTATGCAAACTACAACTTACCTTGAAATTTAAACGAGAATTATTTTCCTATTAGCAATAAATCTAGTTAAATATAATACGAATTATTGATCTGAAGTTAGATTCCAGAGAATTAAAACTTGCTTTGAAATTATAAGCCGATTAGCAACAATTGTTGTTCTAGCACAAAATGAATAAAAAAGAATTACGGATTACCTAGAAGTTTTAATTCTGAGCAAATTAAAGCTTGCCTTGAAATTTTAAACGTATTTGCGACAATTGTTGCCCTATTAGCACAAAATCAAAACTAATGATTAAAAATAATACGAATTAAAAATTTAAAAGTTTTAGATCTATAGCACAGTTTTTTGTCGCTTCCATAATAACAATTTTATCCACTAAAATTTTTCAGTAGCACTTTTAAATTTATTTAGACAAATAAACCAATATGTAACCACATTTGGTATTGATAGAATTTTATAATAACTAGTCTGATTTTGATTTCATTTTAATTTTTCTTAAGTATCTATTTAAGCTCCCTAATGCGGGCTAGTCCAAATGACTTCTGTCTTTTTAAGGAAAATACATATACTAAGTGTGGTAATTATAGAACACACTGTACGCAAGTAATTTTAGCTTTTAGGTAGATAAAATTCTATGAGCTATGTTTCCTTATGTTCTACTATAAAAATAATTGTAAAATAACTGAAGTGTATTAATTTTTGATCAACCTAAGCATGCTTAAAATGCGATCTGATGAAATTGTTATGTTTAATGCAGTTTACTTTAACTTTTATACACTACATTTCATTACTCTTTATATACTACGACATATACGTTAATGCTATGAAGAACTACTTAAATTATCAATAAAGTTTTATCATAAATGCTGTGCCCAAATGTATAGTTCCAAAAATCTTCGTTGTATGTAAAAAAATGATGTAAATTTTTGTAATATTTGTAAGCAATATCTCGCTAGTTATTGGATAGATTTTATCCACAAAGCAACCACTCATTTTGTATAATATAATAAAATGTTTTAATTCTTTAGGCTTTGTTTTCTGACCAAAAACAAATATGTTTTTCATTTTCAATTGCTTTTTTTTAATTGAAATGCCATTAATTGTTTAATGGTGTAATTTTTTAAGGCTAAGTTATACATTTTAACATTTGGGGTCTTTCAAACAGTACATAAGCACTTAAGGGGAGTTTGTGATTTGCTTATTTTTGCTGACAAGGGTGAAGAATGGGGCATGATCAATGCTTACGTACGACATTAAAATCCCTTTATTATAAAAATTTTCTCAAAAGGCAAAAGGAAAAATTAAACAAAAGAAATTGCACGTGGAAAAGTTTCAAATAAGGAATAAAAGTTAAATCCAGGAAGAAAAAAAAAATTTTTTTAAAAAGAAAACACAAATCATTTCTTAAAAAACCATTCTACTCAAAATTCTATAGAATGAATACCCTAGCAACAATTATACCTTTGCCCCAGTTGGGCTCAGAACATGCTCCGAGGGACTAATATTGGGATGTCCAGATTTTTTATTATTGGTTCTATGCAATGTCTATACAGGGCTATATTGGCTAAATAACAATTGTAAAATATCGGTTTAACATTCTGCCTACGACTGGTACAATAAGTGAACCAAAATTGTTTCATTATACTAAGCACCATAAGCAAAAAATTGAATTAACCCTTATTTACGTTGTTCCACCATCACGTGCGGTCCACATGTTGTACCAGGCGTAAACAAAGGGTTAAATTAACCATTGCTCATGGTGTTCAATGTTATACCATCACACGCGGTCCACAACCAGCCGTAAGCAAAAGGTTACTCTGACAATTCTATGTAGGGGCGATATTGGTTGTAGTGGCAGTAAGATATCGGGGTGAATCGGACAATTCTATATAGGGCCTATATCGGAAAAATATCGGTCCTTTGAACCCTTATTGGTCCAAGATTCGAGAATATTGGTCCAATGAGGGCCCAAGTTATTTCGCTGCTAGGGTTGAAACATAAACTATGTTTAATACAAAATTATATCTTTTTATTTGAATTAATCCCGGAATTAGATGAATTAAGTAAATGTCAAAGTTGAACCAAGAGGGGGGGGGGTAATTATCTTGCGTAAAACTTGAGAGGGAGTCTGTGATTTGCTTATTTTCGCTGACTAGTGGGAAGGATTGGGCATTGGCTGTGCTTACGTAAGACAGTAAGTTTCCCGATTTTTAAGAACTCTCAAAAAGCAACATATAAAAATGTAACTAAAGAACATTTTATATTATGCACAAAACCCTTATTACTTCCTAACTATTTTTATTTATCATTTTGATTTCTGTTTTGGGTCTATCAATTCAGTATGAAAATATACACAGGAAACAATGCCTTACATTTTTTAGATAGCAGTGTTACAGGCGGAAATGGGTAATATTACAAAAAATTTTCTTTTGTGCTTAAAACCCTTTTAACTTTCAAACTAATATACCGATCTTACCTAATTAAAAGCTTCGTTCACTTTACCAATTTACAAATAGGAAACAACAGTCGACATGCTCAAGGCTCTTCAAAAATAGACGCCTATTTTCAAGACATGCTATTTTATTATATTTTATTTAATAATAGTCCGATCTTTCTCGGAAATTGTCTCATTAAACTCGGAGAGAAGGAATACGTTGGAAGGGAACCTCTGTGGAAGAAATTCAATATTCCCTCTAAAAATACCCTCATTTTCTAGAAAGATCTCTGTATATTTAAATTTCCAAGATTTTATTCGTAACTAGAATTTAAAATATATTTGAACGAACCAATTATTTACATTTATAGAATAATAATGAAACAACGAAATTAGTTTGATTAACTTCTCAAAATTACTATTTTACAAAATAATAATACAAAATATATTAGAAGCCGAATTCAGAAAAACAAAACTAATAACATGGCAATCAGGCAAATTGTGGAATCTAATAAGTATTTCTCTCTTACATAATTCGCATTAGGGAAACAATAAGCATTTCTGAACATGCCATATGTTAGGTAAGTTCGAAGTAAATTAAAAAATTTTTTATGCACTAAAAATACATTTTCAGTAGCAATTTTTTTTATTTCAATAAATGTTAGCGAGAAAACTGAATCCATATTGTATATAAAATTGATTTTTGTTAAGAATAAGTACAGCATAATAATATCAATATTATTTATAACAACTTGAGGTACATTTTGTTGTCTAACAGATTTACAAAAAATAAAATACTTTTAAAAAAATGTAAGTACTAGAAATTTAATTAAATTATAAAAAATTTTCCGATTAGTTTTTGGAAGAACTAAATAAAAACTAAAATGGCATTTTTTTTAAGACTCCCAATTATTATAATTTTTTTCATTTCAATTACTATAAAAGTAAAAAAGCGAAAAAGAAATTATTGTAATAAAATTCGCAACTGTTTATTTTAGGCAATTTTGCTCATGACTGGATGTTCTACAAAACGAGTTAAAAAAAAAATTTAAAAGAAATTCAATAAGATTTGAATTTTTAAAATTATTTTCTTCAATAAAATTAAGATTTTTTTTCTCCCTAAGATGATTGTTTGTTATATACTGATGTGAAGCTAACATTTGTTATGGGTCGGCTAATTAGCTTGCATGTTATTATTTATAATAAAATATAGGAATTATATTATATACTAGCGAAATACTCAATAAGTCAGTACTGAACAACACTACAAAATTATACACAAAACAAATACCGACACAAATAATAATGCTAAAATAATTCCATTATTTCTTTATTTACTATAATTTGTTGTCCTCGGTGGCTTTACGTTATTAGATTAAGCAAAACACGAACTTAGTCGTTCAGCCCAGCAAGATAAAGATCAACTGCATTCGGTATCATTTAACAAAATGCTGTTGCTCTTGGCAACTCAATGATATTTAAAAATTACTATAATGAAGCTGCTTTCTCTTGTAACTTAGAGGGACTGTAAAAAAAACATATTTCCTCAGTATCTATCTTAAAAAATATACAGAACTGGTGCAGCTTTAATAAAAAATACTGGCACCAAACCAAATTGGCGTGGCGACTTTTACGATTCTCCAAAACAACTAAGCACATTTTCTCCTTTAATTTTACTTTTTAGCCCATAGCTTATTTTTATTTCAGCTCGTACCTATTACCAAAATTAACTAAGCATCATTGTTGTAAATAATAGTTTTGTCGAATTTTCACGCGCACTTAAACGAATTAGTACCATTTCTCCAGTAATTTTAGCTTTTAGTATATAGCTTATTATTTTACTTCAATCAGTAACTATTACAAAAGTTTATTATCATTGTTCTCAATAATAATGGTTTTTTTTTAAACTTTTCTTAAACGAATTATCATTTCTCCATTAATTTTGCTTTTCAATAGAAAACTTTTTTTAAAAGTTTCAATTTTCGTTGATTTTAAATTATTTAGTTTTATAGCCTCACATTTTAAAAGCATCACTTCAAACGAAATAAACACGCGCTTTCAGATAACTTTAGAATTACCAATTTATTGTCGTGACCGCCTATGTTACCACTATAGCGTAGATCTTTCAGATAACCTGACATAATGAATAAAAATAATTTAACAATACAGAATAAAAAATATAATTAAAATATGGGAAATCGGGCTTTGTAATACATTTACAATTGTACAGATTTAGATTCATATTGAATGTTATAATTTTGGAGCCTACGGTTTACCCCAATTCGGTGTTCAGAAGCGCACAAATTCTTTATTTTATTATATTTATAGATGGGGTTTATTTTCCAGTTAATTGTGCATTCATGATCTGTTATATTTTCTACACATTTAATAATTAAAAGAAATATGTAAATATTTTATTTGTAAGTGTTGATAACAAAAAACTAATGACAAGAGAAAGTAAAAAGAACTCGCCTAATATGTGATTTTCTTAACTGCTTCATCTACTCATCTGTAAATAACAGTTACAATTTTTAATGACTGGTGCTGCTCTCTATTAGGGAGATAAACAAATAGAAATAGTACATATTAAGAAATAATCTGTTCTACACTTTCAGTGTAATTGTAATCATATAAACTCAGCTTTGTAAATTACAATTGTGACATCACAATTGTCAATATTAATTGAAAGAATAAGTATAAAAAGTTTTGCCAATTTAATAACCAAAAAGATCAATACATTAAAAAGTATATTTAAAATTCGATTTTTCAGGAATATTCGGCCGACTATTCGAGCAATATACCTTTTATTTCTCGACGGATTTGGATATCTGACCCCCGAAATATAGTAGGTAGCCGCATTCTGAAAAATATTGCTCCCAAAGTTTGGGCAGGAAAGTGGGTCAAAGCTTGAATCCTTTAAGGTGAATTTTACTTTTTGCGTATTTCACTATATCTCAGGAACTTCTTAGCAAATTGAAAATTTTTGCATAGAATTATAAAATTCGCTTCTCCGAAGATATTTCCATGCAAAAAATAAGTTTTAGTAATTATTTATTATTATTTTATTTAGTAATGGGCGAAAAAATTTTGAATCGTAAAACTTATAATTTTTTACATTATTATAAGGAATGGAATTTCACCTAGCAAAATACAAAATTTGAGTGAAATCGATCGACTAGTTCCTGAGAAATCGAAATTTAAAAATGCGAAATTTTTTAAAATTCAATTTCTCACAAACTTGCAGACCGATTTCGCTCAAATTTCGTATTTTGCCACGTAAAATTGAATTATTTAAAATGATTTAAAACAGCTAAGAATTTCACAATTAAAAAGTTCGGCGATTTTTAAATAAAATAATTAAAATTATAAATAGTTACTAAAAGCTATTTTTTTTGCATGGAATCGTCTTTGGATAAATGAATTTTTTAACTGTGTGCAAAAATTTTCAATTAGTTTAAAATGTTTTTGAGATTTGATGAAATACGTAAAAATTGAAATTAACAATAAGGGGCCCAAACTTTGAACCGCTCCGGTCCAAAATATTGGGATCATATTTTCCAAATTGTGGCTACTCCCTATATTTTGAGAGCCAGAAATCCGAATCAGTCAAAATAAAAAAAAATGTTTATTCAGAGAAAGTACATTTTTGTGTCTGATTTTGTAACTTAAAATATTGTCTGCACTAATCAATTAGCTAATTTGAGGTCACGCCCTCAAACCATTAAGATTGAGTACTAGAACGTAAAGATCCGATAATTAGATTAAAAGCTATTCAGGGTCGTCTGTTTTTTATTTTGCGCATTTTATGTAGGGACAACATCATACGCTCGCTAAGCTCCTTTACCTAATGCTTTTACAGTTTTCTTTTTTTCGAGTATCTATTTGTTCAGTCGTTTCATACTATTTAATATCCCAGTTCCTTATCGTACAAACACAAAATAATACTTTTACAAGAGCTGAGAAAAAAAATCAACTTATAATACTTATAAAAAAATTTCTCTATATATTAATTTTGATATTAAGTCTAATTCGAATATTCCATTTCTTAGTTTTTTTTTCTTTGATGAAGATCCTATGACAATATCATCTTTCAAAAATGGATAAAATACGTTGTTTTTCTGGTATTATAAAAATGCATCAAAAAAGGCAGAAACGTAAATTTTAAAATTAAAGGAGTTAGTGTGAACTAGTTAGAAAATTAAAAAAAAAAAAAAAGTTCAAGAACTTCTTTATCTTCAGAGGCAGAAATACGTAGTTGCAAAAAAATATTAAGTTTTTTGCAGTTCCTTTACATCTAAAAAGTTAGTTCATTAATATGGTATAGTAATACATATAGTAAATATAATATAATATTAGAATGTAATTTAAATATAGTAATGTATAGTAATAAACCCAAAATATAGTAATATTTTTACTTGGAAGATATGCATTCTGCCCACAAATGTCAATATTTTTCATAAAAGCACAGAACATTTTATTTTCATAATATACATTTATTGTAGCTTTACGTAAAAATATTTTGTTAGCATGTTAATCGTAACTAAACAGGCTATCACCTAGATATAAAAAATAATCATCTGTTCTGGAAAAAAAATAAACCAATGAATATAGATTGCGAGACTCAATAAGAAGAAGTAAATGAGAAGTAATTTTACCCAATGACGTAATTTATATTATTTTATTTTCGAATAGGAAACGGTTCTCTATAATGTTCTTCCTTAAGTTTTTTAATTTTTAAAAATTTCAATCTAAATGTCAAAATTTAAATCTGGCAACACGTAATCTTTTTCTCTCTCCTTCTTTTATTTTTTGTTATTTTTATTGACGTCTACTCAAGAGGAACTACAAAAAAAAAAAAAAAACCTCGAAAAAAAAACAAACATTTTCAGACACAATGGATGAATATTAAATATTTGAAGCTGAAAAATGAAAAAGAAATCGTGAAAAAGCACTTTAATTTCCAGTAACTTTCGAAGAAATCAGAATTTTTAAACAAAATTTGCTTTAAATTCACAAATAAAAATGGCTGTACCCTTTATATACGTATAAAGAGAAAACCAGAGGAACTAATGGCGAAAACAAAGGAAAGCTTTTTTGCACATTTTCTGACTCATTAGTATTTGTCTCCACAAAATAATAATTCTACTGCTGATAGTTTTCGCTAACCTAAATATCGTAACTGGAAAAAAAATAAAATAAAATCATATAAATTACCGTAGGTACTAATAAAGTTATGATATGAAAATATTCTGTAGACATTTTTTAAAATATACAAAAAAAATCTTTATTTTATTTGATCTTGCCTTAGAAGCAGCGCTTAGAAGAGTGAGATATGAAAGCGGCAAAAACCTGCGGAAGCAGCAGTATCTTTAAAAAAGAAAAAAAAAGGGGAAAAAAATAATGAAGGAAAAAAAAATGGAGTCTCTGTAAATATCGCAGTGTCGCCCTCTATTATAAGTGAAAGCAAAGAAGCATATATTAAACAAAGGTAATGAAATTTTTTAATGAAAACTGTAATATCAGTTATCTTATAAGTTGTTTCATTAGTTAATACTTAAAAGCAGACAACTCCTGAGTTTTTTTTCAGTACTCTCTTCTAAAAAATAAGATAAATTCATAAAATCGAAAAACGAAAGTATTTATAAGATATTAATATTAATTAAATCAAAGTAGGCTTTTCTAACAATCATTCTCCAAAATGATAAATGATCATATTTTTAATTTTCCTGCCATCATAGATGAATGAAAAATAACCCTTATAAGTCCAAGAATGACGTTTGTCCCTGATCCTGTTCCATCGGAGATCGTATTTAGCAGACGAATTTTGAAGGACATTAAAACCGCAGGTGAACGTTAACCGTAGCTGTGAACTTTCAAACATTAGTCACTGCCTGATTTGCAAAAATTTATTATTTGTGATCATTTTTAGTTTTATTCAAGAAATGCAATATTGTCCTAAAGAATCGTTTGTTGTCTAATAATTTTACATGCTCATTATTTTATTTTTATTGCATTCGAGCTTTGTCCCAATCTTAGTAAGTCAAACTGCAAACGCAAGCTCAGCATTTCGTGAAATGAAATTTGTAAGTTTATTTATATCTGTTATTGGTATTTAATTAATTTGATATTAATGATATTCTATCGAAAATTTTGCTTGTAAGATTTCAAGTGAATGTTATTTAAAATTGCATATTGTAAAAAACTGAATGTAAGCAATTAAATTAGTTAAGCTGTCAAATATGACAGTGTTGTTAAACTGAATCTCGATTTTTTGTTTTAAGTTTTCTTTAGAATGGTATTCTTTTATATAATGTGTTTCAAATGTTTGTAACTATGATTTATAAGCGCATTGATTGATGAGTTTTAGTTTTTTGGTTTTTTTTTTTCTTTGTTTACCTTCTGCATGGTGTGTAGGAGGAAGTCAGCTATGCAAACTTAATTTATTTCTGCACGAATGCATGTTTGCATTTACCGCTCTGAATATCTTGAATTATATCGATGTATCTGAATTGATGCGCTTGTTAGATATTTCATAATTAAAGATGTAAGATTCCTGATTAGAGAATTGTTTTCAATAAGACTAAAAACATTACAGTTTGTTTTAAGTTTGCTAAATTGAGTACAAAATATCAGGTTATTTTGTCGTCTAACTAACTATTCCTGTTTTTCTAATTGTTTGTTTTTGTTTGCTAATCTCTGTGTAATTTCTGCATTCTTAAAATATATTGTTAGCCTAATTTATTAGCATTTCAATTGATTTATCAGCTATAAACTATATAGCATGTTTTGTTGTCGGTGAAAGTATCAGTTTTGCAAACTAAATTTATTTTTGTTTGAAAAAATGCATCTTTATGTATTGTCGTGAATAAGTTTAATTATATTGATGCATCTGAATGTATGTGTTTGTTATATACTAATCATTAATTAAACATGTAAGAGATTATTATTGATCAGAAATTTTTTTCATTAAGATCAAAAACATTAAAGTTTACTTTAAGCTTACTAAAGTTTAAGTTACTAAAGTTTACTTTACACGTTTACAAAAAAATCAGGCTAGTTTTAATGTCTAATCCTATTGATCATTTTGTTAGTTAATTTGTATAAAATGCTACATCAGTTTAAATTCCTTTTATGTTAAATATTTTGTTAGTATAATTTATAAAAATTTCAATTGATTTATCAATTATGAATTCTATTGTATGCTTTGTTTACTTTTTGTATGGTTTGAAAGTGACACTAAAGTAATCAATGCAAACTGAATGTATTTTTTCATGAATGCATTTGCATTTATTGCTTTAAATAACTAATTATATTGTTATATTAGAATGCATGCACCCTGTCAAATGTTTAATAATAAATATAAAAGATTATTCGAGATCATAAAATGGATTTTGTAAAGCCTGTTGACAAAAAGAAGCGTAAACAATCAAGATAGTATTGCTGTTAAACTTAATTCATGTTCTTCTCATTGTTCTCAATGCTTTATTAATGTGTAAAACACATAGTTTAATTTTATTAGCATTTTAATTGCTTTGAATTATTAATATATTTCATTTGTTTATTGTCTGCTTGATGAGTAGTTAGAAATCGCAACAATTCAAACTACGTATATGGTACACATATTCTTGGATTTACTTTGATAGCTCTTAATAACGTTTATTGTATCATTGTATCTAAATATATGCACCTAATATATAATAAATAATAAACTATATGAGCAATTAATTGTTTCTGGTTATATAACTGTACAAAGATCATTTTAAGTTAAATTAAGTATATCAACAACTTGTGACTAAGTATTTTGACATTGATGTCATTCTGCAAAATAATGAATTAGTAAACAAGCTGTTAAACCCATTCCGTCATCATAATACAAATAAAATTATTTTTCATAAAATTTCTAAAAAAAAAAAAAAATTGAATTTGGTTATTCTGGTTAATTTATCTTATCTGACTTAGGGTATCATCCAGTAAGATGAAAAGCCAACTAGTTTCTGGTTCAAAATCTATTTTTTTTTGTTTCATATTTTAGGATCATCGACTGAAATGATAAACAATGAACTTCACATGCTGTCTAGGAGTCGTACTGAGTCTTCAGTCACTCGAGATAACTTGACTGTCACTGAAAATTCAAGAAACATTGAAATCAGAACAGAACTTCATGAAGAGAAAGAAGAAAACACTGTACAGGAAGTACATGGAGGTTCCATCTCTGAAAGGTGAATTGTTTTTCAACATTTTATTTTAGTGTAAAAAATGATTATGCACATGTAGATTGTTATCATTATTGGATTGATCAGAAAGTAATTTAATTTTATTTTTCCTTGGCTAACTTCTTACTTAAGCTGCATAATTATTATATCTTTTGTCAGCTGATATGTAGCCAGGGGTCTGTCTAGGTTTTTCTGAGAGGTAAAATTTCACAAAATGGGAGAGGTAGGTACCTATTTTGTAAAAATTTAGACATAATTTGTGAAAATTAAAAATTATATGAAAAATCAACACAAAAATATGGATTTAACGTTTCTTAAGGGACACAAAAATAAAATTTTAAGAAAAAGTATTTTGTGAAACTACCGTTTTTCCTAAAGTTGAATTTGTGAATGTACTGCTAAATGGTAGTAAATTTGGCCTGGACAGACCCCTGATAACAAAGTTTGCTTGTTAAAAAATTCGATTGATTTTATGCTGTAGATTTTGGTTGGGGGTTGGGGCCATTTCAAATGTAAAAAGTGGAGTTTTCAGTGTATTTTTCTTTTTTTGCTATCAAAAAGTTAAAAAAGCTTTTGAAGTAAGAAAAAAAAATTATTGACTGCGTATGGAAAAGATACATTACCAGCAAATCAGTGTCAGAACCGGTTTGAAAAATTTCAATCCAGCAAAATTTGAATTAAGTTGACAATGCACCGTGTCAGTTTGAGCTGATGAAGAGGTGATTAATACATTAATTCATACCAACTGGTGATTAGAAACTCCTCGTTATATCACTGAGACATTAAATTTACTGAATTTGACTGTTCATGATCTTTTAAAAAGCCTAAATATTGTTCTTAAAGTTTAACATATGGATTTCTCAGGTTTTTACGAAAATATTAAGGTTGCCAGCCCACAGAAAATTAGAGGGAGGGAAGGATGCCATATTTTTATTTTAGCTTAAAGTTCTTTTTTATTCATCAATAAATTATGTTACATGCAATTTCTATATACTTACATTATAAACAAAATCAATAACCTATTACTTTTAATTAAAATAGTTTCAAAAAAATTTTTTTTTTCATAATTTATGTTTACAAACTATCTTTTTATTTGTAAATATGTTTTTTCTGAAATGAATTGGATGGCTATTTCATATCTGATATATATTGTTTGTCACACACATTCTGTTAAAAAATGTTTGAAATTTTTGAAGTTAGAATTACTTTTTAATTAGATATTAATATCAAATTTTTGTTGACAGATTAGCTGCATTGCAGAGAAGTGGATCTGAAAACTGGAAGAAAAGATTGGGTGGCAAACCTCCTATTTTGTTGAAACCAGATGGACCAGTCATGCGCATAAAAGAAGTAATCAATTTTTTTTTATTTTTAAGTAAAATATTTATTGAAATTGAAATTATTTTTTCAAATTTTATGCATAAATATATTTTGTATGTGCTATGTTGAATGTGTTTATAAATTAATTGATAATTCTATTGTATTCATAATCAAATGTCATTTTTAGAGTTCTCAAAAATTTGTGTGAAATTCCAATTTTTTTTATGAAAATTTAAAAGAAATTGTTTATATGAATTTTTTTTTAAAAAAAATGCTTTTTTCTACAGTTTAATAATTTATTAAATGCATTTTAATTTAGTGAAATTGCTATTTATTTTTAATCAATTAATAAATAAGTATGGTTTTTAAAATGTCAAATCATTTATGCTTAATATTTCAATGAAACTTTATTTTATTTGAAAAATTGATTAATGCTTTTTAGCAAAGTTTCCAAAATAAAAATCTGACTTGTTTTGAAATCTTGGTAGATTTATTTGTTTTATGAAAGTGAAAGATAAAGAAAAAAATAATAAATATGTTAAAAAAGAATAGTCTACATTTTGTCATTATGAATTATAATTTGTTATTGTATCTTTGTGTTTTAAATTTACAATGTATTTTGAGTATGATTAAAATTTATTTTAAGTTTGATAATGTTTTAAAATTATCCTTTTTTATTGTTAAAAAGCTGTTGTGTGTTAATTTTTAGTTTTGATTGCCTGTTTCTTAATAACTCTTGAAGTATAACATTTTATTAAATAACTTATAACTTTCAAAGTTATGCATGAATGTTATATTGCTTTCCAGAAAGCAGTGAAGGCCTAGTTTTACAAGGAATAGGGCCCCAAAGCCAACTATAATTTTTGGCCCAATTAATTATATTTTGAAATTATTCAAAAAAAAGTTTATTGGCATTGAATATTTTTTAATTAATACTTTAAAAAAGAAACAAACTTTTATTAGATAATTTTTATTACGTAATTGTTTGATACCTAGTGTAAAATAATGCAATATTTTTTTTAGGTTTATCAATTACCATTGGGACACTTTGTTACTTATTAAGAATATATTCATTGTTAGAAACTCAGTGTTTCTTTTCACATATATTACTTTTAGTGTTATTTATTTTTATGTATTTTGTTCTAATATTACACAAATCTGCTACTAGTAAGTGTTAAAAAAGTAATACATGTCCTTAGTTAAAAGTCTTTAAAAACAATGTTTTTTTTTATTAGTGTAACAATTATTTTTATTTAAAAACATTGATAAACTTGAGATTTGTCTTTTGGATAAAATATTGCTAAAATGTTAATAGTGTTTTCAAAATAATGCTTAACTGTTTTAGCCACTTTGAAGTGGTATGCATAAAATAAAGAAAATAATACCTTAATAACTTTTAATGCAATTATTGTTTTTATCTACTAAAATCCTATCTCATTATATGAAAAAGCTAATATTAAATGTGCTAACTAATTTAGGTAGACTATATTTTAAGTTACGAAATCAAACACAAAATGTACTTTTTTTGAGTAAAAGTGTTCTCTCCCAACAAATTTGAATTTTTGACCCACAGATTTTTAGATTAGAATCATTAAATTTTCTTTGGATAACCTTTTATATAAATATTTGCAACATTGTTTTGTTTAGCTTAAATAATTCCTCAAGCATAGTTAGATGTACAAAAGGTAAAAATAACAATAAAGGAACCAAACCTTTTAATCAACCTGACTAACCTATTGGAATCATGTTTCCCAGATTGCAGTTACTTCACCTCAATTTTCCTTTTATCAAATCTGAAACCGTTAAAAAAAATTAGTTTGTTAATGGTTCGTAAAAGAAATCAGCTTGTGCTCAAATCAGTTAGTATATTTAAGTTTAATTCCCTTGAACCATTAGTATTTTATATTAGTACTAAAATAAAAAACAACTTTTTAGATCAAAAGTTGTAGTTATCAAAGTTGTTCCACTTTTTATATTGAATAAAATACCTGTAAGAAATCAAATGCATATGTCATAATCTTTTCTCTTCTTTTATCTGTCACTATTTTCTCACATCTTTTACAAAGAGTTTTTTGTTTTTAATTATGATCTGGTAGAAAACTTTTTTGATTAAAGCGTAGCTTAAATTTATGTTTACTATGTACCACTCTAACATCATTGACATTGCATTTATCAGAAAACACTTATTTTAATCTTGCTGCTTTTGGTAATTAATCTTTATGCTTAGAAACCATCTGGAGAGAGACCCAAGAGTCTTTTGGATAGAATAATGATGCTGGGTGAGGCTCAAGATCAGTGGCGTAATCGTGTTGAAGACAAGGATGCCAGTCAGTTTACAGTTGCTGGAAAAATGGTTCAAATGAAATATTCTCCACATTCAAGCCCTGTTATTAGTAGGAAAAAATATAGCCCAAAACCAGTACAAGGCCGAAGTAAAACTAGTGAGTTCCTTTTTTTTTTCTTCAGATGCCATAAGCATTTTATTTAATTGAGATTTTCCACCCAAAAAAATTTAAATGTGAACTTTTTTTCACGTTTCTGTAAATGATACTTTTATATCATGTGGCTTTATTACTGTGTTTTTCTGTCTTTAATGAAACTAGAGATGTAGTCCGTTCAGTTGTGTAATCTAAATTCAAGCTTGGACTAAAAAGCATAGTTTTTCTCACTTTCAATTTATTCCGACTAAAACAAAAATTCATTTATTTGGAATAAATTAAAAATGAAAATGTATTTTATATAATAATCTTAAATGTGAAATCAACTGTAAGATTATTAAAAAAAATCTTGTGTCTGAAAATTTTTGTGTTTTCTTTGAAGTGAACTAAATTCTTCACTTTTCTTCTGAACAAGTAATAAGAACAGGGAAGAGATTTTTCCGCTTTTTTCACTTTTATCTCTTGAATTTCAGTTTTTTTAAATCAAAAATTCAGATTTTTCTAAAAATTTCACTTTTTTTAATAAGTATTCCGCTTTTTCAGAAAATTCACCGATTTTGAAAGAGAAACAGAAAATTCAAACTACATAGCTACCACTCCTTTCTCATTTTTACTTGTTTTAGCTATTTTCTCCCCAGCACTCGCAGCAGATAAGATTTTCCAAATTTTTTACCCGCCCTCCAGATAGATCCGATTTTTGTAGTTCAAACGACGCTGCTTCTGACAAGCCTTTTAGAGGTCCCAAGCCTGGAATCTGCTAATATCTTGATCTTATTCACACGATTTTAATATCAAACATAGCTTTTCATATTTGCGTGTTGCGATTCTTATTCACACGAGGCAGTTGATAGCTATTTTCTTAAACATATCTTTAAAAATTAAACTTTAAATCATATTTGTAAGCTTCCAGTGCTTTAAGTGTTAAAAGATTATTAACTGTTTACCTTATTTCAATTGCATTCTAGCATAAACTGTTTTTGTTAATTATGTTATTAGTAAACTTTATACCTGTCCATGTCAACGCTTTATTTTTCTTATAGACTAATGGACATATAGAGCTGCTTTTATTACTAAACTAAGTTTGTAATTTAAATATGTGTTTTATCTAAAACTGTGAATAAAATTTTGTGCCTGTATTTGAATTATTTAGTTATAGATTAATGTATTTAGTTTAGATTATAGTTTTCCTGTATCTAAACATAGTTTAAAGGGTTAAGACATATGGGTCTAAATTTATCCGATAACGAATCAAAAAATTTCTATTGTTTTTCTAATCACCTCAAGCAGAATTTATTGTTAACAGAAATTTTAACCACTTTCCGACGAGCTAAATTTATCCTATTCAAACTGGATCTCTGTGCANTTTTTCCAATATAATTTAAAAAGTAATATTACTGATATATTTGCTATAAATCACATAACAGTATTTATTAAAAGAAATGAAGTATTAATGTATATTCTCAGTAGTTTTAATTTGCTAAACCACTTAGTTTTTCAAGTAATAATTGCCTCTTATGTGAACTGAGGAAAAATATAATTTCCAGCTTTATTTTTTCAATTGGTAATTTTTATTTTCACTAAATGTTAAGTAAAAATGTAATCATTTATATAATAATAGATAAGTACACAATTGTATCTCAACACATTATTTATTACCTTAAACTGTCCTCAATTTATTATAAAAGGGTTGCTCTTGCATAAAATTTACTATTGTGGAAATTCAGCTTTTTTTGCCTTTTGGCTAATCTCATCCCTGTAAGAAGATGAAATAAAAAATCTACATTTTGAATAAATTTCTATACTAAATTTAACCTTACTTTGTCTTTAATGTCTTTTTGTCAATACAATAAATTTAGATGTGAACTTTTTTCACATTTCTATAATTGATACTTTTACATTATGTAGATTTATTATTGTTCTAATGTCTTCAGTAAAACAAACTGTGAAGTGGACCTAGTCTGCTCACTCGGGTAATCAAAATTCAAGCTTTGACTAATAAGCATAGTTTTTCATTCTAAATGAAACAAAAATTTATTCATGACAATATAAGAGTAATAAAGGATACTTGGATTAACCTCTTAATATCCAAATCTTAATTTTTTATTTCTATTTTGTGTAGCAATATTAAAATGAATCAATTTCAGTTCTATTTTATGATGTTCTATTTTATTATGTTGTTTTATTTTATAAGGTTCTAATTTATAATGTTGTTCAATTTTATAATGTTTTATTTTAAAATGTTCTTCTATTTTGATATGTTGTTCTATTTTAAAATGTAGTTCTATTTTGAGATGTTCTATTTTCTAAAGTAGTTCTATTTTATAATGTTCTATTTCATACTGTTGTTCTATTTTATAATGTTGTTTATTGAATTTTTAGCTAATATTCAAGAGCTTTCTAGTTATGTCAGTCAAAGTACACCTTCCTCACCTTATCATTTGAGTAAAAGCCAGTCTTCATTGATCACTTCTTGTAAGTTATTTTAAGCATTTAAAAAAGATCTTGTATAAGAATTTTTCCTCAATTAAATCAGTATTATTTAAATTTAATTAGGTAGTACTTCAGAAATTGAAAAAGTTTCCTGTAAAAAAACCACTGTTCAAGTTCCTAAAATTGATGATGATGACTTCACCTCCTTCTTTAAGTCCGTGAAAGATAGAATCAGTGTTAGTGCTTTCGATATTTCAGATGAAGTTTTTGAATCCTTGTCATCAGCTTCATATGAATTGTAAGTACATTTCCTTATTTTATTGCATTTCTCGCTAAGTGCTATGATCTAGTTTTGTACTTATATTATTTTTATTACATAAGTATGAAGTAGATCATATGAAACCTCTTGGGGACCAATTTTTTAAAAATTTGTTCAGTATAAACAGAAAACTAAACCTGGTGACGGTAACACTTAACAAGCAACAGCACAAAGCATAATCATATCAAACATATCATCATATTATTACATTGTGTACTTTGTGTATACTTAAGTTTTTATTGTACACTGAGATCTAACACACTAAGATCAGGATTATATTATTTTTTTTCCTTTCATTTTTACAAAAATAATGTTTTTTTAGTTTCTGATTCGATTTAGGAACTCTAGAAACAAATTTTTCATTTATGCACTTTTATTAAATGTGATTCGGATAGTAATTGGAGACTTATTTTAATTAGAAATTTTTAAACTTTTTTTGTGAACTTTTTAATCTATTTATTAGGTTATATAATCAATGCATATTTTCTGCATTGAATTAGTTTACATTGCTAATCATGGATATTTTTTGATATTTTTAAAGTTTGTTTTATTAAAATTCAAAGCATATTTTTTCCATTTATAAAATTTTTTATTGATTTTTAATTCAAAATGTTAAAAAAGTCATTTCACTTTTTGTCATCTTATGAAAAAAACAAACACATTGTGAATTATGAAAAAATAAATTAAAAACAATTGTTTAAAATTTTGTCATGTATTAAAATTTTGTTTTGTTTACTGTGTTAGCAAAGTTCTTTCTGTAACTACATTTCTATTTTATTTTATAACCCTCATTGAACAGCTGACCCTATTTTGGGTTTATGTTTACTACTGTGGAACTGCCTTGTAATTTTGAACCTTATCCAGAAGGCAAAGAAACTCCTGGATCAAGTATTAGGTAAAATTTTGCCTTCCTGGAGGACTTTCCGATGGAACTAACCCTCTTTTGCTCTACAATGACAGGAAAACCACGAAAAACCTTCCACAATTAGCCTGAGGGGAAGGGGAGTTTAACCCATGATCCGTCTACTATTGAGAATATTATATGTCAGCACTGTAGTCGGTGCGAGACAGGTGTGGAATTTGCATCTACCAGCCATTGCTGGGATTCAAACCTGGTTCACCTCATCGGAAAGAGGACGCTCTATCCCCTGAATCACCAAGGCACGAACATTCCTATTTTATTTTATAACCGTCGTTGAACAGCCGACCCAATTTCATGGGTTTACGACTACTTAAGTTCAACTCCGTAGACTTGTAATTTTGAACCAATCCAGAAGACAAGGAAACTCCTGGATCAGTACCTCAGAGGTATTGATTTGTTGTGTNCCTCATCGGAAAGAGGACGCTCTATCTCCTGAATCACCAAGGCACGAACATTCCTATTGAAAATATTAGACCCAAATGGCGCCAACAGTATTGAAGTGTTATGCTAAGCTGTTCCTTAAATGCTAATATAGTTTCCCTAAATCGCTCCAATCATTATAAAAAATTGCTCTTCAGGCTAAAAAAGAAGAAAAAATCATTTACATGTCTTTTTTTATTCCTTCGCATTTTTCTAAATTATATCTCTACTGTTGACTTTGAAATAATGTAATATTAATTAATTTATTTTTAGGTTGAATTATGGCAAATCTAAATTAAGAATGAACAGAAAGCATGCCGCTTCTGGAAATCCTCTGAGGCTATTGGCTTCACGTTCTGATTTAAAGCATGATTATGAAGAGATCTATAAAGGTGTTGCCGAAAGAGAATTGGAACGAATGAAACTTGAGAGATGTAGGTTTTTAATTACATAATAGTACAATGAGTTTTGAACCTGAATCACTAATATGTACATACAATTTTTTAAAAATATATTTAAGCAATTTATTTTAGTTTGTTGTATTATTCTCAGTAATAGCTAAGAATGCTTTATTTCAAGTGTTCTTAATTACATCTATTTCTTTTTAAAAATATAGTGATTGCAAACTACCTCGGAAATATAGTTTCAACTTAAGTACTTTTAGGGGACAAGTTTTGCTGCAGGGTTTTTACATTCGTGTCCAAAATTTAAATAAGTTGAATAGTGAAAGAAATTGTTTTTTTAACAAATGATAAAGATTTGCTGTAATTGAGATTAAAGCATTCTGATAAAGCTTAATGAAAAGTTTTGTTTATAGACATGATATGGTAACTGTGTGAATGGAATTTATTAGTTTATTTGCAAGGCCATGAAACATGAGTGTTTTTTTAATGAGAAAATCGTTTCATTTACAATTTCATTCTGCTGCTATATTTTCTAAAACTGATTCTCCTAATTTCACTAAAATTTTACTTAGAACCTTCATTCACTTCTATTATTAAAAAAAAAAAAAATTTAAAAGATGATTTAGTTTTTTAAGAGCATTTGTTACAATTCAGTTCTTCAATTGTATATACATTACTGTTAATTAGAAAATACAATTTACAAAGTAACGAAGTTGTGGAAAGAGAGTATGTATTTTTTTTCCTTTGCAACTTTTTATGTATTGTACGATTTATTTTTGTCCTTATATAATTAATTACGTAATTTTGATACTATGCATGGTGCATTACAAAAATCATCCTGCAGTTTTAAATAAGAAAGATAGTAAAGAAGCAATATTATTTTGTAATAAATACTTCACTTTTATTATAAATGTTATTTTATTCAGTATCCAGTCACTTTGTGATAAATGCTGTTAATGGAAAATGTTGCTGTATTTTTTTTTTTTTTAACAATATTAATCAGATTCTTTTTTTCTTATGTATACATGTATGTAGCCCATTAAACAGTTTTATGGTTTAATTCTAGATTCCAGAAAAATGAAGTGTGTAAAAAAAATGTTAATTTTAAATTAAAGAATAATTTTCATTTTCAAACCTAAGTTTTTTAAATATAAATCATTTTTTGTTCTTGTATTGCATATTTAAAATGCTATAAATTGCTGTTTTGATTATGTGTGATAATATTTTAGTGGCCAAAGGATCTCCTAGCTTAGCACTCTCTGCTCTAGCAGGATTAGCTAGTACAGAAGATTTTAAAAATGTAGCACTAAAAAAGGGATCCACCAATGATCTTTCAGATCAGAATACGATTTCTCTTATGCAGATAAAAGGTAATTATTTATCTTTTCTCCTACAAGCATAATGTTTGTGGGGTTAAATTTTATAAGTTATCATAATTATTATATTAACTTTGTTAATAATTATGATATTAATTTTCAATATCATAATCATTATAATAGCTTTGGTGATTATAATATTAATGTTAATTATAACTATTCCTTTAATTTATATGAAGAATAATTACATTTTCATTTAATTTCATTGATGAAAATTAAAAGTGCCTTAATTAAATTAACTTCTTTTTTGTAAGTTAAAGTTTTAATTCACCCATATAAATATATGACTCACTTTAGAGGCATACATTTTTGACAATTTATTACAATCTTTAAAAACCCATATTAAATTGATTTCAAAATGTGGTTCACTTTAATAATTGTCACAGTTATTTATTTTAAATGAACTTGTAGGCAAACGTCTGCACAGTTGACAGATTAGTTTTGATTGAGCTTGGAATTAAACCTATATTTACAAAATCAGTTAAGAAATTAAAAAATTATTTTAAATGTTCACAATCATGTGATCACAATCTTTAAATTTATTTTATTTTATCTTTATTATTTGCTTAATATAAGAATAGTTTTCATTTTAAGGCTAAAAAATATTTTTCTTTTAAATCTTAATTTCACCAGTTTTTTCTTCTTCGTTATAACCGTTGTTGAACAGCAAATCCAAATTTGAGTTTACCATGGGAACTTGGAGAGAACTTTGCGACCTCAACAGATTTAATGTGCACCAGTCACCTTTTAATACACAAGGATTCTTTGGCTAACTGGATTCAAACTCCCGTTCTCACGAACAGGAGTCGAAAATCCTACCAACCAGACTACCCCGGCCCTAATCTTATTAGTTTAGAGAAATAGATATTTTTTTCGTTGATAAAGTGTTTAAAAATTAATATATTAAAATAAATAAATAAATAATTGAAATTCATTGAGCTCACAGATGACTAACTGAGTCTGTGTTACAGCAGTGGAGCTCCCATCCTGTCTTTGCTGAATAAAATTTGATATCTATTTTAAGTAGCTTTATTAAATTATTAAATTAATTGGTTTAGCTTTATTAAATTAATTGGCTTTTCTGATGAAATGTATAATTTTAATATATTAAGCTGACATATGATTTTGTCAGTGAAAAATTTCTGTTTATTAATGATTAAAATTTTTTTGTAAAGAATTTATAATGAGTTCTTTATTGAAGGGCGTAGACGAGCTCAAGTGAGATTGGTGGAGTCAAAGTCTTCTTCATTGAATCATGGAGATAGTTATGTTTTGGTAACTCCAACTCAAGTTTATTGCTGGCATGGAGAATTCAGTAACGTTATTGAACGAGTGAAAGTAAGCATTTAATTTTCTGTAATCTTTTAATAAGTTATTTTAGCATATATTATTAAAGCTGTAATTTGACATTCATAGAGAACGGATATTTGTTTCTACAACTTTTCACTGGAAGTAAAGCTTAATTTCTTACTCTTTACTTTAAAGACGGTTGGTATTTTTTTTTTTTTTAACATATTAAAAATTCATTTTTATTAAAATTTGTTTAAGTAATGTATGTATGTAAATGGTTAGAAAATGTAGCTTGAATTTTTTAGACAAATAAAATTTAAAAATATATAATACATTAATCTGTTTTGGGGTATTTTCGAAAAAAATTATTTTGAACTAATGAAATTACATACTGAGATAGTTTCAAAAGTATCTTTACATCAAATCTTATTGAGAACTAGTGTGCAATATATTGGACATTCAATTTGCTCAATTTTTTCACTTAGAAAATAATATTTTAAGAAAATATATTTTGTTTATCTGTTTTTATGGAGTTATTGTCTAATTAAAAATACGAAAGGATTTATCCTTCTTGATTGTAGTTTTTTAACTGCAGCAAAAAATTATAAGAAAGGTAAGAAATTAAATTCAAATTACCTTTTGGACAGTTTATGTCATTAAAGTATTTTATTTTTTCAATCTTGTGGATTTTGTTCTTTGACCAAAATGTGTTGAAATAGAAAAGGATGCTATACAAAAAACACTACTATAAAAACCATTGTGTACTAAAAAAATGTTAAAAATTTAAATTTATCATTTTTTTTATGTAACTACTAAAAAAGTAAACAATGTTAAAATAAATTTCAGTTTTTTAAAAAAAAAGTTTTATTGCATTTATGAGTTTACTTTTTTCTAAGTTGCATATTTCTTGTCAGGATTTAAGCTTGAGTCTCAAAAGTATATTAAAGTGCATTGAATTAATTTTTCATTTTTTTAAGGCTGCTGAAGTGTCTAATTTGATCCAGAGTTGTAAAGACCTTGGTTTCAAAGGCCAAAATGAAGCTATTATCATTGAAGAAGAAAATGAAGCTCATACTGAACAGCAAAAAGAGTTTTTTGAAGTTCTTTCTATTAAATCCCCTGATGAAATTAGAGTGGCCGGTGCTCCAGATGAAGATGAGGTATTTGATTTTAGCTTTTTGAGCTTGTTTTTCTTTTTAGATGTACTTTCTTAGGAAAAAATAAATCTTCATTTCCTGATTTATTTTTGATTGAACTGTAATTATTATTCTGAAATATTAATAAGTAAATAACTGAAACGTTTTTTATTATATTTTTTAAAAATAATTTCTGCATTTTTATTTAATTTATTTTTTAAGGACTTTTATGAAATAGATAAAAATCAAAATGGTTCATGTCTCTTAACCCATAGACACCTTGCTACTGGGCCATAGTTGCTAGTCAAGACTCTAAGGCAAGGTCTTGGGTTCTAATACCAGTTTTTTTAGGACATTTCACTAATCCGAGAGATATGTGGCATAACTTAATAATTTTTTTCCCTCTAATTCCTTTGTGTATATATATATATATATATAAATATGTGGGAAGGCAAGGAGCATCAGAACTACGTTAAGTAACATTTATTCACATATAGGACATAACACTGGACAATACACAAAATACAAGACACTTAACTTATTAGAAGAGGCCGTCTGCCTCGTCGGCTACCATCACATACGATGTGTGTGGGGAGGGAAGGGTGTGCGCCATGATATGCGTGGGGAGGGTGCGCAATGATATATGTACGTGTGCATGNCTTCTAAACAAATGTTTTGGGGTTTCTTCACAACAAATAGCACTGGAAGCTTAGTGCCTCTAAAAGGCATGATGAATTCAGCCAAATACATCGATATATTACATAGTAGGATTGTTCCATTCATGGAAACATTCGACGGAACATTTCAACATGATTTGGCCCCTTGTCACAATTCCAAACTGGTCCAGAATTTTATGCGAGAAAACAAAATAAAAGTGCTTGATTGGCCTGGTATTTCATCAGACCTAAATCCCATTGAGAACCTGTGGCATATTCTAAAGAATAGCTTAGCCAAGATGAATTGCACGACAGCAGAACAAATGATAAAAAGTGCTATTCAAGTACGGTTCCACGACGATGAAGTCAAGAACATGTGCGCTACACTAGTGGAATCAATGCCAAAACGTGTTCTTGAAGTCATATCTGCTGAAGGAGGACATACTTCATATTATTACAGACATGTATCAATGTAACTTAAGGTATGTAATGATTAAAAGCTAAAGTTTCAATAAATCACTTTTTTTTCATTTGTCCCAATTAATTCGAACAGTATAGTATCTATATATTGTTTGTTTTGTTTTTAATTCAAACAAATTTACTAAGTTCTTAGGAAATTATAACAACCGTTGTTTCTTTCAATTATTTAAGTAAAAGAGTATAAAAAACTTAGTTTTATGAAAAAATTCTAAGTTCAATTTTTAATTAAGTATTAAATTCTTTTGAAAACTATGCAGCTAATTAAAATTAATGTAAGTGCAAGTTACTTAAATCTAAGTCAATATATTTATTTAAGAAAAAAAAAGAAGATAACTTATAACATTCTGCCAATTTACCAATTGCACTAATCAACAGACGTTACTAGCTTAATTCTGGCATTTATTTACATTTGGACTTTGTTTAAACCCATATGAGTGAACATGCGGTTTGCTTGCTGCCAAAGGGCAGAGTTGTAGGTTGCTACTTCATATCAAGTTGATATTTTTGCCACCCAGTTGTTGTCATTAATAGTATATAAACTCTATGAGCATAAGTAGGGCTCTCATCTGTACTCCATTGCTTCACTTGCTTATTCCCAATTCTTAACTTGGTATTTCTGGTGCTTCTTATTTACATCCTACCTGGCTCATCAGTGTGACATCCTCATGTCGTCCAGGCTCACTGCAAGCTTTTTCCCAAAGCATGAAAATAAAATTAAATCATAATAACGCTCTTTTGACTGCAAAGACTGGTTGCAGTTGTACAGATTTAACAAAAATTGTGTTTTGCGTTTCTATACCGGAGTCTCTAATTGTTTTCTCTAGTGCTGAATTAAACAGAGGACATGACATGGAGATAAATATGTATGCTTATTCTTAATTCTGATATAATAAGACATGATATGTTGCGGCAGTCAGCAACTCTGCCCCTGGTGGCAAACTGCGCATTTACCCATACAGGAGTATGTATTGTCTTGTAACGTTCGTTGATTGGCGCAGTTAGAGATTGATCAATCGATGAACTATTACAAACAATTTTTAGAAATATAGCATCCCACATAAATATTAAAATTACGTATAAAACTTAAAATAAATAGTATGAATAATAAATATTTTTAAAATTAAATGTAAAATATTTTCTTGTGCAATAATTATTACAGCAATACTTAATTTTTACAACAAACAATTAATTTAAATTGAAACTATTCATATAATACTTTTTACTAAATATTTATCATCTTTAGTTTTTTTCCATTTCATCCAGTTTTTTCCGCCTCTGTTTTTATCCATCTCTTTTTTCTTCCAATGCCTGGAATGAAATCTGCTTCTTCTGAAAGAAATCACAATCTTATTGCCAATGACATCAAAAATTTCTTAATCATGTTAATTTTTGATAAAATGTAGATGATTAGTTTGAATTTTCTAATGTTCAAACAGGCAAAAATATCAATGTTTATAATGTATATTTTAAAGTTAAATTTTATTGAGTTGTTTTATTGAGCATTTCGTAGAGTGATTTGTGTAAGATTTAGTATGTTTTCTTACTTTGAGTACATAGTATAGTTTAAGTTTAGCACATTTGTAGTATATTCAAGCTTGTGTGCCATAAAGTGATACATTTTATCCATGTGTATCCTGTATTCTTCATAAAACTAATTGTAGCAACTATAAAACAATCATAGCATTTAAATGCTATGTTTACTAAAACAATTAAAAGACTTTCCTTACTAAATTTTATAATTATTCTTGGTATACATTTTCACTTGTTAATATAAAGGTTTAGAAAAATGTACTATGTCTTAGTTAAAATAATTAGCTTTATTTATTGATGTATAAAATATTTACATTATGTTAAATTTTTAAAATTAGTACTGTATCTGCAGTTAAAATGTTTAACTGAAGCATAAATGTTTTACAGATTTATGTTTTTGATTTTGGCGCTGAAATGTATGTTTGGTGTGGAAAACTGGCAACATCTGACCTCCGAAAATCAGCTGTTTCATTAGCTAAGGAATTGTGGGATACCGGGTACAACTACTCAGAATGTGATATAAATCCCTTAAATTCTACTTTTGGTATGTTTGATTTTTGTTTTGTCCTTTTTTTTCTTCAAAGAAAAACTTTATTAATTTATTATTTTATTCTAGATAGAGATTAACTATCCTGTAATGTATTCAAAGGAAGTAGAATTTTCTTTGTGCTTTATACCACCATCTACAAAATTTTCCTATTTCCATTTCAAGATGCTTTTTAAATGATTCTCTACAAATTTGAAACTTTTAATATTTTTTTCATCCAATAGTGTTTGCATTGTAAGAATTATCACCATGTTGTAACAGTTTTTTGATACAACTGTGTATTTTAATATGGAGAAAAAATTTTACAAGTTAATAGGATAATGAAATTTTTTTTGATGTTGTATTATTTAATTTAGTTATGATCACTAGTCTTACTGTTGGAGACCCAATGTTCTGAGTTTCATTAGTCAGCATCATCTGCAATTTAAATCAGTAAAAATCAACTATTTAAGGCTTATATTATACAGTTTTGTAACCTATGGGTATATATGATACAATATTGTGTGGAAAATGTGAAATAAGCATTTAAAATAGAAACATGATGTGCAAACCATGTGAATATCTATTGTTATATTTTATCCTCTTCATTATTGTTTAATCAAATTTTTTCACAGGCTTGATTGAACAAAGAACTATGTTTCCAAAATGTGATAAATTTTTTAAAAAATATAATAATAAAAAATCTTATAAAATTTTGAGGATTTATTATAAAATTTTATTGTTCTTAAAGTGCATTATACAGTCGGAAGAACACAATAATAGTTAATAAATGATTCAAAACTATAACATAGAATAAAAAATTAATACAGAATTCATTATAATAACATTTATAATCAATATGATTTTTTTAAAAATTAATATGATGTTTAGAATATGTTTTTATGTTTTCAGATGGACCCATAAAAAATGAAGATAGCAATAGACCTACATGGGCTACATTTACAAAAACAAGCCAGCATAGAGAGCCAGTTCTTTTTAAGGAAAAGTTTTTTGACTGGCCTAATATACACCCTCTCATTACAAAAAGGACTTACGATGAAAATCGCAATAAGGTATATTAAGATCATATTTTTTCAAAATAGGAATGTTGATGTGTGACATTTTTGCATTTAGACTTAACCATGGTTCAAGTATGTTAAAAGTGCTTTTGACTGGGATAATTATTTAATGTAATATTATTGGATGTTTGTTTTAAGTATTTTATAATAAAAAAGATTGGTTCTAATTTAAGTTACTTGATACATTCTTAACTGAAAATTTTCAATTGTGTTTGTGGTAGTAGCTTTTGTAAGCAGGGCTGATTTTGCTCCGGAAAAAATCTGGATTTCCGGATTTTTCGCTAACAGTGATCCTGAAGTTTCCGGAGATTGAAGGTCCAGACATTTAAAAAAATCATTGATCACAGAAGTTTCCGGAAATCAAATTTTCAAAGGTGGATCTTAAAAACACAGTTTATTTTATTTGTTTGTAAGGGAGAGCCAGAGAGATACTTTATAAGCTTATATTCATGATTAATATTCATTTTTTATCAGTAAATAGTTGCTATAATCATAAACTCAAGAACAAAAGACATATTTGTAAATTTTAATTACTTCTCCAGGTCGTCATAGGTATGTGTAAATGGTATAGGTATGTGTAAAATTTTAAATGTATTTTAAGTAATTTAAGAAATATTGAGAAAAAGGAAAGAAAAAACCTTGTTTAAATTTTTTTCTAATTTTTAAACTTAAACTTTTTTTTTTAACTCAAGAAATTTTCCGGAATTTCGGCTTGGGCTCACAATTACCCCTGTGTAAGTCTATAACAATATTTTGCAAGCATCAACAATATTGTTGTTTAAACTCTTTGATCACTTTTTATCCTAGATATTTTTCATCTTTGTGTAAGACAATAGCAATATTTTGTAAATGTTAACAATGTTTCTAAGGTTCTTGTTTTTATTACTTCCTATTATAATTAAAATGATAATGTTCATGTCTTGTTCTGTTAACCTTTTAATTTCTGTATTTTCTAAACTAATCTTACTTTTTTCTTGGATCTTTTTTATAATTCAAATGTGTTTTTGAATGCTTCAATAACTTATCAAAAATTATATTCTATTTAATCCTACTTTTCTCTTAGTTTTTAAATTAATTGTGGCTTACATATTTCTCTTCTTTAACCCTAAAATAAACTTGTTACTGTGCCTGATCTTTAACTGATAATTTAATTAATGAAAATATTAAGCATTTGCTTGAAGTTGAAAATAATTAGTTGGTTAATAGTAATAATTTTAATTTTTAGACCAATGCTGTACCTACTAGCATCTCAGATCTTCAAGCCTGTGATTATAAATCAATGTTGTATAATGAGGTAAAGGAGCCAGATACAATCTTAGAGAACAGTCACATAGGAAGAGGATTGGAATACCACGATGAGGAAGAACGAAGGCACTTCCGAATAACACATATATCCCACAAAATGTGGCATATATCTGAACATGGCTATGAAGTTATGCCGGAAGAAAGTTGGGGGCAATTTCACAATTCTGATACTTATGTTATCCGATGGCAATATATGATTAGTAATACAGGTATGTATTACTCATCATAATTTTGCTTTTTCTTTGGCATTCTTTATTTTTTGTTGCATAAAAAGTAAAAAATGTCCCTTAAAGATAAAAAATTTGCAGTTTGCTGCAATCTCACTATGTAACCAGGTATTTTTTATACTACTTTCGGGATTAATTAAAAATGTTGTTAAAAATTGACTTGTTGACCAGAGAAATTTAATAAACTTTTTTTGCTGTATGTCAGAGACATTCTCCAGAACATTGAATCCAGAGACATTTCATTGTTTTTTTTTTTTTTTTTGCACTTTACAATGTAAACTTNTTTTTTTTTTTTTTTTTTTTTTTTTTTTTTTTTTAAAAATTGTTCTTTGACTATGTTTGTTGTTGTTGCAAATGAAGTTATTTTGAAATTACTGTTGATGGAATTTAAAAAAAATTTTGAATTTTGGTGAAAAATTAACTTGTTTTCTAAGCAGGCTTTGATTTAAACTTTGATTTTTTTCAGGGTGACCACAGAATAGGAAAATAATGAAAAGTTGGAATTATATCAGTCTGGGGAAATTGAGAAATTGTCAGGAAATTGAGCTAAAATACCCAAAAAGTCAGGGAAAATTAATTTGAGTTTGAGGTACCTTAAAGTATATTATTTTTTTTATTAAAAAAGGATATTTAATAGTTTTTTTTAATTTTAAAGTTTATTTTCAACTTTAATGGCAATAAAGGTTTTGTAATATGTTTAATGTGTTAAAATAACCGATGAAAAATATATTTAAAAAAATCTATACATATGCCATTGATTACAAAAATCGGGGAAATTAAGCAAAATCAATCTTGGTGGCTTAAAAAAAGGGGAAAAGTTAGGGAGATGTTTTTTAGATTTTATGATTATTAATACTTCTGAGTAATTTTGCATTTGTGCCTCTAGTGAAATCTGTCTTTATTATGTTCGTATAAATTAAATTTAGAATAATGAAATGTTATAAATTAATGTATTGCCTTTTTATGTAGATTTTGTATATGGATTGTGATTAAATATGTGTCACAGAGTGAACCAAATTCTTTTTTCTGTTATTTTGCAATCCAAAATGTTATATCTTAAATGAAAATGATTAATGATCATAAATAAAATGGAATGGAACAAAATAAATATTCATTCTAAAGACTTTTTTATGTTAGGCACTGTTAATATTTCGATTTTATATGCATTGAATTGCTGGAAATTTTATTTTTTCTGAATTCTTATTATATGCTTCTGTAAAAATATATTGGTTTGGCTATAATTCATTGAAATGCAAAAAGGTGTTTTTGTTCTTCTACTGATAATAATAGAAAAAAAAGCCAATTTTTTCTTAAGTCTAAGTTTTTTTAAGCAAAAAGACATGAATGGATAATCTACATATTACTTTAAAACTGTTTCACTTAAATGTTTACTGTAAAATTGTTATAGATCAAATAATATATTAAAACCTTTTCAAATCAAAATATTTCAGATGGAATCATCAATTTTTAAATTGTTCAGATTAATTTAAAAATGTTTCAGATCAAAGTGCACTCTGAAACTGTTTCAGTTTTAATTATACTGTAAAACTGTTTTAGATCGAAGCATACATTAAAACTGTTTCAGATCAAAGCATAGTTTAAAACTATTTCAGATCAAAGTATGCTGTAATACTGTTTCAGGTAATATTGTAAGACTGTTACATAACTTATGTTGTAGTTATTAAGATTCTTAACAAAATTTTTTAGGGAGGACATTGAAAGGTGGTGCCTCACGATATTCCTTTGTTGGACGAAAACGCTGGGTGTATTTTTTTTGGCAAGGAGACAAGTCTACAATAACTGAGAAAGGTGCATCAGCATTAATGACAATCGACTTGAATGAAGAAAAAGGACCACATGTTAGTTGAAATCAAAAGTTTAAAAATGATTTTTAATTTTTATTTATTAATTTTATTCCATTTAGATACCCAGTTTTAAATTATGCCAACTATACTTCTGTGGATAGAATTGTTTTTGGAAAAAACCATTCTTTAGGCCAAAACAATGTTGGAAAAAACCATTGTTTTTTTTCAACATTAATTAGAATTCACTATACTTTATTCAATTTTCAAGTCAATATTTCTATTTTTTTTCTAAATTAAAGTCATAGATAACGCTTTGCAAAATGTGTTTTGTTATCACATTTTCTTCAATTAATAATTCAAATTATCTATAATGTAAGCTTTCAAGAATTTGTTATTTTTTTGATTTTTTTAACATTTTATTAGTCTTTTATATTTGGTACTTGTCCATTAGCTAAGTGAGGCACGGAACATGGCAAAAATTGTCAATCATCATTAAACATCATGCTTCATTATTTAGGAAGAATTCCATTCTGGTTGTTTCTTCATCATTATCAATTTCCAAAATGAATAGTACATCTTAACATTCTAATGTAAACAGTTTTCAAAAATTAAACTTACATGTGATAGATAGCAGTTCAAGTAAAGTTGCTGCTATTTTCTTTGATACTTTGAAGACTTGGTGACTATTTTGACATGGTGATTAGTCAATCGATAGTCATCTGAAAACACTTAGGTTTCTACATTTATATCAATAATCATTAGCACTATATTGTACATTTAAATCATTAATTATTTATGTATTTATATTTTATGATTGTGTAGCACTTTTTGATATATATATACAGTAGAGCGCCGATTATCCGAACCCTTATTATTCGAACGTCCAATTATCCGAACCATGTCCGAATTCGCTTCTTCTTCTTTTTTTAAAGTTTAGAATACTTTTTAACTTATCGGCAATTTTTCTGAATTTAGAAGAATAAATAATATCCATAATCTGAAGATCATATTTAATTTACAACCTTTTTTAGCAGTTTTCTTATAGTAGCTAATACATGCATGTACTGTTATACAGTTAAACCTACATACCCCTTTAGCCCTTTGCAACTGAAAATTATCTTCTAAGAATGCGAGCTTCAATTTGACAGTCTACAATGGTTGAAATGAGGAAGGAGTTTATGAATAGATATGTGCTGAAGTTCTACAATAGGGGGATGGGTACTTGTCACTTATGGTTAATGATTAGTGATTACAGTGCTTGGAATCTTAAATCTTGGAATGGTTATACAGCAGAAGAAATAGAAGATTGGTGTCGAGACACTGAAAACAACCCAGGATTTTAAATTTTAAATCATGAAATTGTTGCTGAAATTTTGAATGAAAATTGGAACTCCGTAGACGAAGAAGAAGAAGTAGGTGATAAAATTCAAGATAGTGGACCTTCTCATATAGAAGTATGCGATTCATTAGATATTACAATGAATTGGCTAAAACGTCAAAATGATGTTGATCCAGTTCAGTTGATTTATTTAAAAAGAATAAGGGATATGGCTGATCAAAAAAGAGCATCTTCTTTGAAACAAAAGTCTTTGCTGGCTCTCTTTTACAATGGAAAATAAAGAAAAATGTGGTAAAATCAGTAATTGATAAAAAAAATTATAAAATGCTGAAATATGATAAAAATAATTTAAAATGTAAAAGAAGTTTAAAACAAATAAATAAAAAATATTTAAAATTTGAAAATAAAACTTTTAAACACTCCAGAGTTATTTTAGATAGTACTGCCAGGCATAAGCCTAGAAAAAGTGTGAAGGGAAGTTAGTGCATAAATAATAATCATTTAAACTAGATTTTAAACAACTTTTCAATTATCCGAACTTTTCATTATCCGAACCACGCTCGGTCCCTAGCAGTTCGGATAATCGGCGCTCTACTGTACATGATTAATGTGTAACTAATAAGTTTTTTGTTTTATTTTCAAGGTGCGAGTTAGCTGTCGAAAAGAGCCTCCATGTTTTCTCAACTTATTTCGTGGTCAAATGATTGTGCATGATGGTCGCAGAGATAAAAATCTTGATGATAATGATGGTATGTGTGGTATTTGTTGACTTAGTCACATAATTCACTTTTATTGAAATTATTTATTATTATTTTTCATTTGATTTAGTATGCACAAGTTGATTCTAATTTTCCATAAAAATTAAATATCATTTATTGCTTTTGAGTTTTAAAGATATTTAACTTCATTTATGTTTTAATGTTTTAAAATGAAAAACATTTTAAATAGCTGTCATGCCGCAATTGGCATATTTCCTACCTTTCAAAATATCTTTAATTACTTAAGCTTATTTTTCTAATCATATTAATCGAATCATATTTAAATTAAATCAATAAGTTAATCTTTATAAAAGCGAGCATAAAATATTTTATTCTTTTCTTATCGATCAATGTAACGGCTAACTTTTTATTTCAATATAATGTAGACTCATTAATTCACTGTCATGCCTAATCGAAAACAAAAATCTATTTATAACTCTTTATTATTAATTTCTTACTGCAAACATGTTTCAGTTACACGATTATAATAATTCTTACAGTCTTGGTGGTGGTTCGCGATCGCCAAGGTATTTTCAAACCTAATATTGATTATGCGGGGTTGGCTTTATTTTGGCTATGTTATATTTCGATAATTCGCCTATTTGGGATCTCCTCTCTATGTTTTTGTGTCCGTTAGGAATAAATTCATTCACTTTCAATTTTCAAATTTGTGGCTTTGAATATTATTGATGGTAACAATTCTCTTGATGTAAGAGAATATTTTATCTTGATCCTTTTAAGGGATTTTCTTTTCTTTATGATTTGTGTATTTTAAATATGGCCATTTTGAATATACTAATTCTTACTTTAATTGTAAAATTTTTACTTAAGCAATTTTATTCATTTTTCTGGAGACAATATTTCAACCACCACTATATGGCGATCACCAACATCATGAAATAATTTTGGGAAATTTGTTATGTTTGTTATTTTAGTAAAAGCATCAAGAAATGAAGATAAATTTTCTCATCATCATCATATCTGGCTAGATAGCCCAGTGTGGGCCAGTGTCTTCCTTTGAATTCGAATCCACTGCTCTCTACTTTTGACACTTGTTCGCCAGTTTTTCTCCTTTAGAGTAAGGAAATCAGTCTCAACTAAATCCAGCTATCTCAGCCTGGGTCTACCTCTTTTCCTGTTCATTAGGGATTTGTGTAATAGGATTTTCTTTAAATTTGAGTCATCATTCCTTCTGAAAATGTGAGCTGCCCAGTTCATTCAATTTATTTTTTTATGAATTTCACAATATCTGGCTCTCTGTAGATTTTATACAGTTCAGTATTATATCGTCTTCTCCAGGAATTATTTATTTTTATCCCTCCAAGGATGGCCCTCAAAACTTTTCTCTCAAAAATGGCATTTTTATTTTCACCAGCTTGAGTTAGGCTCCAGGTCTCAGAGCCATAGGTAAGTATTGGCCTAATTAATGTTTTATAGAGTAAAAGTTTTGTATTTTTTGATAAAAGAGAGGATTTGAAAAAACGTTTTAAACCATAAAAAGCTTTATTTGAACAAATTAGACGCTTCCGAATCTCATTGTCTATGTTATTGTCGGCGGTAACCAAATGTTCTATCAATGGTTAAATGAGGTTTGATAGTTAAAAGGAATTGCAGCTTAAAATAATCAATCTTAAATTTCAAAACTAAAAATGTGTAGTATGATTTTTTTAAACGAATTGTAGCAGCCATGCAGTTATATTGTTCATTATCATTTTTATTAATTTTCTTTTATGTTTTTCCTGCTCAGCAAATTACTTCATTGTTATGTATTCATAATCTTTTATTATTTTCTAATTCTTGTCGTATTTATTTTTGCATGAGACATAGTTCTTCATATTTATTTTGGGATTTTAAATAAATTATCCCTCCATTTAAATTTTTTTGCTTTATTATAGGTATATCTGAGTTTTGTGTTGTTAAAACTTAACTTTCAATCCAATTTCTTAGTTATTTAATATGAAAGTATTATATTGGAGGAAAATATAAGATTTGAATTAAGAATTTGAATTTACGTGAGAAATTATGAGAGGGAAGCACACTAGTCACTATTTTTTATTTTATTTATAATTATATATGTATTGAATATTTATCTTGAGACAATTTGTTTAGTTTTCTCCTACAGAACTTCACTATATGTTAAATTATTTTTTGTATTTTTTTTAAAAAATTATATATTTTGTTTGTTTTAGTGTCATGGAAATTATACATGCTACGTGGTGATATGAAAACAGAAAGTGTACTTCAAGAAGTAAAATTATCAAAAGGAAGTTTACGCAGTCGCACCTCTTTTCTGCTGGTTAATCGAAATACCGGAAAGCTGTACATTTGGCATGGCTGTAAATCAGCTGCATATACTAAAGAATTTATTCTAAATTCTGTGCAGTTACTTATAGAAAAGTAAGTTTAAGTTCCCATAATTTCATTCATTGTATTTCAATTTTAAGTAATTGTAGTTCTTTCAATCTCGTGCTTACACTGAGTAAAAAGCTTTGAATTTGAAAATTTACTTTTTTTCCTTTAATTTACAGTATTCTATCTTTTTAAGTTTTTTTTTATTTTATTTATTTTTATTTTTTATTTGAGATTATTGATTATTATTGAGTGGTGTGATTATATGTAGTTAAATGAAGTAATTTTGTATTAACTCATAAAATTTTACGTGAGTACTTAGCAGTAGTAAAACCTACCCCTTAGAATGTAAATTAAGTTACTTGACTTCTCTACTTAGCATGAGTTACAAACATGCATTATACATGAATTAATAAATTTTAAATTAGCTAATGAGGTGAGGTAGTGCTTTGCACTTGTAAAAATGATAATAAATTATTAATTAAAATAAAACAAAATAACTGACTTGTAAAAATAGAATTTTTTGAAAGCCTTTTTTTCGTATGGGATTTAATTTACAAAATGGTTAAGGTTATGGGCAAAGGTTAAGTATATTACTGACTAGTTACGAGTCCTTATAATTTTTTTTTCTGTTATAGTTTTTATTTTTTGTCATAATTTTTTGTTTCCTATTTCGTTTTTATTAATTATATAATAAACTTTTTTCATTTTTGTTCAGTTGTGTAAGGTGTTAAAAAAACATATGTTTAATGCATCATATTAAATTAAGGGCACACATGTTGAATACGTTTACATTTGGACTAAAGATTTGTTTGGAGCTTTAATTAACGTTTGATCTAACTGCTTCTTATAGTAGGTGAAAACTCTTTGACTTGGAAAAAACACTTTGTATAAATGCAGAACATATATCAAGGAATAATTTCAAGCCTATAACCTAAAATTTCGCACTTGTAACATTTACATGGTTGATCAGCTAATTTGATCTTAATATTAAAGCTCACCATGCTGGAAAAATCTCTTTTAATAATTTAATTTTCTCTTTATTAGTTAGTTGACCACTTGATTAAGTGTATAATTAAATTTTTGTCTCACAAGTAGTCAACTTACCAGATTTTACTGTAGTATTATTGCTTATTATTCTATTTTAGACTTCTATCCCTTTCTCTAATGTACGTCATCAATCAATCAATGTGCGCCATTGATGCTGCACAATAAATGCATTTATATTTAATTTTTCAAATTTCTGTTGATTAAAAAGGGATGTGTGATGTTTGTTGTTAAATTTTCAATATATCCTTTATTTGGATTTATTAAATTACCAATATACTTTTTCTAATAACTCAAATTACAGTATTTTTACTAAATAAATGATATTTTATAAAAATATATTTTTGCATTGAAATTTATTTCACTGTTAAAAAACAACTTTAAAAAAAAATGAAAAAACAAATGCATGACTGATACTTTATCCTAGAATGATAATATCTATTTCTCAGATCTTTAGTAAACTTTATTTTTAATAATTGGATTCTTTTTTTTCAAGCACATTTTAAATTCTAATTTTTGTTAATTTCTTATTATTTCTTTGTAATCCTTTTAAATTTATGTTTGGATATTTTCTAAAGTTTGTTTTTATTTTAACATTTCAGCAAGCCAAATGAAATGAAATTTTAAATTCTAATGTTTTGTTAATTTCTGATTATTTCTCCGTAATCCTTTTAAATTTATGTTTGGATTTTTTTCTAAAGTTCATTTTTATTTTAACATTTCAGCCGTCCAAATGAAATGAAATTTAGTGAGGATGTGACTCTCACTATGTCTGAAGTTAATGAAGGATCTGAACCTTCAGAGTTTTGGAAATGGTGTGATGAATGTGAAGACCACTATTACTCTTTATCAAATAGTAAGTTGAAAAAAAAAACACAACCTATTCCACTGTTTTAAGATAATGAGTTTTAAAAATTTTAATCGCTAGGTAACGCTATTGCATTATGCTGAAAAGTTAAATTGTTTTCTGGTGTGGTATGACCTTAAGGGAAAAATGATAATAGTAATTAAAATTTATTATTTTGTATGAGCATTACAGTTTTAGTTAAGATCTAAAAGCTATGTAACAATATTGTATAATGAAATTCTAAAGTTTTTCTATTTTCTATATTTGTTTAAATGTTTACTTATAGATCTGAAAATAACCACTCACCACATGGTGGGTCAACTAAAAAATGTGGTGGTTTTAATTAAATAAACAACTGGTGACAAGTTATGAGAAAAATCTCATAATTTGTTTTTCTTTTTTCTTTTTTTTAAAAAAATCATTTAATGATGAAAATACATCGATGCAGAAAAAGAGACCCTGGAAGGCAGAATTTTATAAAAATGTCAAATATCTTCAATCAAAATTTGATCCTTCAGAATACATCCATTTGTGGTGGAAAGATTCATGTGGAAAGAGAGTTCTTTAACAATTTAAATATTTCTAAGTTGTACTGTGTACGTTAAATGTATTTTACCTCTTCAAATATTTTAAATAAAGTTCTTTTAAAGAAAGTTTTTTTATTAGTTCTGAATTTGTGTGTGTTTAACTAAATTGTGTCATGTATTTATGCTATTTTTTATTTTATTGATTTAACTGTTAATAGCTGTAGATTATTTCTAATATGAATTTCTTTTAAAAATAAATATAATTTAATCCTAGCAAAATAAAAAAAAAAATGCAAATGTGGCTATTAAATTAAAGGAACCTATCAATATTGGTCATCCACTCCTGAGGTTTGAGGTGTAAAAGTGGCTGCTAAGTTATCAGAGTCTACTGGCCACTGCCTACTGACTGAACACTTAAATTTTTAGGCCTACTTACTTGTTATATCTTGTGCTTAAAAGTATCTTAATATTTTTGTCATTTTTAATACAACTAGGAATGCTACATCTTCCACTTTGCTTTATCTTTTTTACTGGTTTTCTGAATTATAAAGAGGTATAACTTTCTGCTTATTTTCTGTAGTTGACTTTGTTATGTAGTTAGTTGATGTGTAGTTGAAAACTGGGGGGGAAAAACAGTTTAGGTTTATATTTCGCATGTTTTGTATTAGGAAGAATTTTGAATTTAATTATTACATCGTTTTTATATATTATACACTGTTAACGTCTAGATTTAGTTGTAGTAAATAGTACGAAATTTATTTTATTCTTCATTTAATTATTTATTTCATTTTATTCTTATTAGGCGAGTATTCATATGATTTCACACCAAGGTTATTTTTAATTGATAGCATGTCAGGTAGCATGTGTGCTAAAGAAATAGTTAGTCCTCACTTTACAAAAACTCATTCATGCCCTTTCCCATTTCTGCAGTCAGATTTAAAGAATGCATCACAGCCTGGTAAGTTTCATTTATGTATGGAATATTTTTTAATTCTAATTATAAGATTATCTTACTTATTTCAAGAATTTTCAGTTATTATATGACTTTCTCAAAGAAGTAAATCTCAATATAAAGGCTTATATATGAAATTAAAGTATCACTCAATTTTAAGGCCAAGGAGAAAGACTGTACATTGATGTAACAATTTTTTTATTTATTTCTAATTTGTTTTATTCTTAGAACAGATGTGCCACAACTTTTTACAGATTGGTAGAATTCTACCTACATCCATTGATTTCCGATACAAATTTCTGCAAAAGGTTCAATTTTGGATAGCTCTAAGATTTAAACGAAATCTTTACATTTTTACTTAAGTTTTAAAACTTTTCAGATATTAAGTGGTGGCATTATATCGCTATTGAATGTCAAATCACAGTTCATTTAATTTAAAAACATAATTAATTCTACTGTTACATGCAAAATATTGGAGTTGTTTTTAAAAACTGGAGGATTGTTCACAAATTTTAAAAAAGTTATTGGGCTATTTTATATATTCTTGTCTTGTAAAAAGAATTTTAAATTTGAATAATTTTATAAATAACCTGATAAACCTGATTAACTTTATGTTACAATCGTGAAAATTTATAAAGGTAATTTAAAGTTCAGTTCACATATTTACATTTTTAGATGATGCAGTAATAAATCAAATCTTTTATAAAAGAGATGTGTTGTATAAAAATTTTCAAGCATTCTCTTTGTACATTTTATTTAAACATAGTTTAATCCATTTAATTATTCAATAATCACAAAAGTTTAAAAATGGTGAAATGGGAGAATGTTATCTAATTATTATTGTTTTTAAAATAATGTTTAGTTACATTCAAAATTTTTGAAATCTGTGATTAAAAATATCCAATTGTTAAATTTTTATACAGGCTTTTAGTAAAAATCTATGATATTTTTTTAAAATTATTTTTTACTAGCAGAATTTTAAATTGAGAACTCAAAATCATTTGTTAAAGTTTCTAAACTTTTAATACTACAATGAGTGTTAAAGAAATTTTCAACATGCTTTGAAATTTATCTTAAACACTCAAATTTTGCTATTTAGGCATATTGATGTCTAAGAATTTGGATTTAAATTGACTTTAAAAATGTAATCTCAATCTTTATTCATAGATGAATTTAAATATATGACCACAAATTGGCCTAAAATTTCACCTACAAATTCAGACCTGTACTTTTCGATTGTGCCGAGATAGCCTAGCTGGTAGGGCAATGGGCCCATGTCCGAGAGTTCGGCCGAAGACTCTCCGTGTAGTAAACTGACTGATGGACGTTAAATCTGTCGAGTCGCAAAAGTTCTCCATTCTCCCATAATAAATCAATACCACTGGGGGTACTGGATTGGAGATCGATTGTTCTCTGATTCAGGTCAAAATTATGATCTGTGGATGAATGAATGGGTCCGTCCCATAAACGGGTGCGACGTATGGTGTGACAGAAGTCGAATTCTTGGCAATAGATGGCGCCACTGAAAAATTAAAAACGCACACTCTGCCTTAAATTTGCTAGGTTTCACCAAACAGGCTTGCCCGTGTGGCAAGCAGCATTAGAAACAACAACAACAACTTTTCGTTTGTTGAAATAATGAACAAAATAGACATGTTTTATCTGATTGAATACGTAAGGCATCTAATCTATTCATTAATTTGTTTACATTTGAGTTCTTTTTCGACCAAGCCTCAGTCTTTCGTAACAGTGAGGTTTAATCGGTGAGTAACATTGGATGATTATGAAGCTTTCAATAATTTTCCTTAATTCTATGGCAGTTTTCATTTATATTCTTTTGCTCTCCCCTCTCCGTTTAATTATTTTTTAACTATCACCTTTCAATTTCATTTAACAGTGTAAACAACACCTGTAATGTTAGTTTTGTTCATTGTTTGTAGAATGGAATGCGTTATCTAAATGCCTCACATCTTTTAAAATTAGTAAAGACAAAAAATTATGCCATTTTTCTTTTTGAAACATGCTTTCCAAAAATTTAATTGTAAAAAATCGCGATAATGATTTTGTTAAAGAATTACTTTCATGTGTTGTGATATTGCAATGGTTCTGTTCTTTTGATGATCCAATTTTAAAAAGCGGTTTATTTTATAAACCAGTGATTATATTAGTTTCATTCACTGTACTTAATTTTTAATTTGCATTTTTTTTCAAAACTTTATTTAAATAAGAAGGAAAAATAGTCTAATTTTTATATACCATTTTTAGCCTTATTTCTCCTGGATAATAACCATGAAGTATTTGTATGGCAAGGATGGCTACATAAAAGTGATCCCGAAAGTGAAAATTTGACTACTGGTTCTGCAAAGTTGCGGTTAAATGTGAACCGTCGATTAGTTATGGAGATAGCGCTGCAATATTGTCAGGGTATGTATTACTACTTTGTTTTTTTTAAATAAAGAGCTCGAGAAACTGTAAAATACTCTTTAAAACTAGTCGCTCGTTAAATTCAAATTCAAAGTTAATACATAAAATCTACGCATGAAAAAAAACTTTTTTTAGATGATAGCAATTAAAAAGGGAAAATGTATTAATCTAAAGTTTATTATTTCAAAACTTTTCTTTTAATAAATTCTTGTCATAAAACATGTATTGCATTAGAAGTGTAGACACTACTGTCACTACTTGCAGATACTGCTATTTTATGATGTCAATATTGTAATTAATTAAAATATAAATTTTTAAAATTTTTGGACCAGTTAAGTTATTAATTTTAGTTTCCTAACTAAAGTTTTTTCTTCTACTCACTGTAATAAAGTCTAAGAACATATTTTTTAATTAGTTCACATATTTTTATTAAATTTAGATAACATTCTTTACAGAATATATTTGCTTTGCTTAAATAAATATTCTAATGTTTTTGTCAAAAATAGCCTATGTAATATATTTTTTAAATATTCATTGCAAAAGAGAATATAAAGTGGGGAAGAATAGATTTTATGATGTTGTTATGGTTTTCAAAGCAATTTTTTTCGCTTTCTTTTGTTTTTTCTTTCATTCCTTTTAGATAGTTTATCAAATTGAGTTTGATTTGTGTATAATTATATTTTTAGCAAAAAACTCTGAAGATATTCCAAAAGCTTATGTAATTCATGCTGGTTTTGAGCCATTATCTTTCACTAATATTTTTCCCGAGTGGAGCTGTTGGGAGGATTTAAATACTCAATCCACTGAGGTGATTCTTATTTGTTATCATATTTTTCTTTTCGATTTTTAAAAAAAAATTTATTTTTCAATGAGTGTCACATAAATATGTTATTTAAATAAGTGCCCGTGGTTATTCATTAAAATACTGAAATTCAATCTTTCGAAAACGTAAGCGTGGTTGGCACAGGACCTGCTGGTGGGAGATGCTGAAAACATTTATAACCATTTTTCAAGGAATTATCAAGGGGTTATAAAAATTCACAAAATTTTTTGTTATTTTTCATGTTCAGACTACTTATATTGACACAATTATCAATGAGGAATAATTTTTTCCTTTGCCACTTTGAAATCTTGAAATAAGTAATAAAATTGTTTTAGAAATTCTGACGGAGAATAAAAGTAGTAATGAAAACTAAGAATTCAATAGCTTTTCAGTATGAAAAAAGAAGAAAATAGAATTTGTAGATACTTTTAGCACTTAAATTTATGCCTCTGGCAGAAGATCTAGACTTTTCAGTTTCCACTTATTTGATACTCTATAGTGCTTCGTCAATAACGCTGATGATATAAATTTTTTCTTAATTCCGTTTTTTGTTGTGCATCTTAAAATTGTAACTTAATGTTTAAAGTAAGTTTTAATCTATTCTAATTAAAATGTATAATTTTAATACACACAATGCTTGATATCCATTAAATAAATCAATTTAGGAGAAAAAGATTTCTATGATTTTAATTTTTTATTAAAAAGTGTTTTTTTTTCAATGTCCACTGGTTTTATTATTTCATAAAATTGTATTTGAGTAATAATCTTAAGGAGTTTTCTACTTTATAAAAACAAGCACTGTATACAAGTGAAGTGACTACATGGTGTCAAATATATGGTTGTGTTTTGTAGGAAAATTCGAAAGTAATGTTTGTTCAAGAAGTTTTGTCCCAATTGACAAGGGATCGTTACACTCTTGAAGAACTTCAAAGTAAACAACGTCCTTCAGGTGTAGACCTGTTACGACTGGAATCTTACCTCACAGACGAAGAGTTTCACGTAAGTAAAAAGATTCATTATTCTTTTTTTTTTCTTTTCCTATTTTTACACTTGAACATGCAATGAAATTTTAGCATTTAAAACTTAATACTGTAAATTTGCTTGCATTGGCTATTGCAAACGTAAATACATGTTTTTTTAAAAATTTTATTATTATTTTAATTTTTTTTTATAGTTTGCTATGTCTTAAGTTAGGTTTAAAATACTTAAAATTTGTTATTTCATTTCTTCATTTTCTTGTTTTAGTTACTTGTGTAAGTATGTCAGTTTTTAACTAAAATATATGAGTTCAATGAGTTTTTAAATAATTAAAATATTTGTCCAATCAATTTTTTTCATCTAAAAAAAAATCATCTTGCTGAATCATTTTGCTCAAAATTAAATCTTGGCTCTGTGTACAAGGCACTCAAACTGTTTATTTTTTGGCAAATGAGCTTTAAAAACACCCTTAACTACGTTCTGCTATCATTAATTTCAGAAAGGTAATTTGGAAATTACACCTTATTAGATTGTCTGTTTTTAGATTTGTTTAAAAAGTCTTTGTTTCTTTTTAGTTAATACTAGAAAGACTGAAACTTAGTTTATACCTATATTGCCCACAAGCAGTCAAAATGACTGGATTGTGAAGAAATAACTAACGTGTAAAGAAATTTGATTAAAATTGATTTTTAATATTTTTTATATTATATACAGATATATAACAGGTTATTCGTAAATATTAACATTAAAAAATTATATGTTGTTCAAAAAGTCACAAAATTCTAAGAAATTGTGTCATTATATTCTTCATTGTTTTTCTAATTGAAATAAAAAAACAGTCAAAATTACTTCCTTGGGCAATCTAGTGCTAATACAGTAGAATTTGGATTTTCAGGCGCTCATATGATACCAATGTTAACTGACCTTCCTTTCAACATGCATTGAAAAGGTTCCGACAAACGTTATTAAATTAATGTAGTAACGAGACGTCCAAAATATAATTGCTTAAAAAGAACAATTAAACAGGAAACAAAAATGTGTTAATATTTTATTTTTAATGATATAATATCATAATATAAGGTAGAAATACAAAACACATGTTTTTTCTAAGGACTTCATTAAAGCTGCTACTTATTTTGTGTCATTTTACTTGTACTAGTTATTTATTAAAACATAAACTTGTAAAGTTCTCCCGATTATCCGACAGTTTTGATTTTCCTATTTATGCCCTTTGTCCTAAAGATTCTACTGTATTAAAGATTTTTTTCAACATCATAGCAGTTATGCATCATTAAAAATTAAAAAACAAACAAACTAATTTTTTAGTAATATAAAAACAGATTAGTATACAGTATTGAATGATTTTTGCAAAATTACTACAATTTTATCAGTTCAAATTTAACTTTTAAACTTTATATTATTTTAATTATTTTAGTAAGGTGGCAAATAAAAGCTTTTAAGTAATTCAATATGTCTTAAAGCTTTTATAGATTTTGAACAATTTTAAATATTGTTCAAAATTCATAGAAATGTAAATTATCATTATTTACAGTTATTTTTTAATTAATTTATAGGAAACTCTTGGAATGAAAAAAGAAGAATTTTACAACATGCCATCTTGGAAACAATCAGAGTTGAAAAAGTCCAATGGTTTATTTTGAATTTGTTCAATTCATTTGTGTGCCAATGTGTGCCTTTCTATTTTTAGTGCATTATGATTTTATAATTTAGAATGAGAGCATTAATAGATGCATTTTTCTAAATTTTAACAGTACATTTATTTTACTCATGGTTTTTAAATGTGTTTGAAACAATATATGTCAGAGGCCAAATAATTCATACTTCCATGTCATCATTTTCTTGTCAATAGCAAGTATTTCAATCATTCGCACTTAGGATTTCAATACTAATGTACTAATATATAAAACTGTTTTACATTGCATGAATAATTTTATATGCAGTTTAGTGCTTTTTACAGGCAAAACAATTGTAGCTGTCTTTACATCTATTCATCTTTTAAAGTCAATGCAAGCTTTCACGATTTGTAATATTTGATTGTAACTAGAGTTCCTGCATCTAACATAGTTTAAAGAGTTGGGAAGAAACAGTTTCAAAATTGTTCCGATTAGGGTTGCAAAAGATGGCACAGCCGGTTGCCACTTTTGGCGATGTTTCTCTCAAATTTACTTTTTTAGTCTAGTATAAATCATGTTAACTGTTTTGAGCTAATTTTTTTTGCATAAATTATTGATTAACAGATTCGTCCATTTAAATGTAATAAAATACCTAATTTTTAGTTTGCATCTTTGCAATCACGAAAATTCATGTTTTATCAAAAAATCAACTGTTTATTTGGCATAGATTATGGTAAAAAACTTAATCAAAGTGCTTGGTATAGCTGTCCTAATTTTTAAAATCTAATTACTTTACATAATATAAAGATTTTTAACATAGATTTTGCTTGGATAAAGTACTTTGAATAGTTGAAATAATATTTTAAAAGCAAGAAACAATATTAGTACTAATTTGAAATATTGAAATTCCATCAGATAAGGAGGCTTTGTCAATCACTGCAGGCTAGGTCTAAGAAGAATTTTTTTGTTTCCTTTTATTCCAGTAAATTTCGGCCTGCAACCAATTACAGATAGTTACAAATATGTCCCACCTCTCTAATTAGGTTAGATGCAGGGACTCTAGTTACATTTAGATTAAAAATATTACCAGAACCAGTGAGATAAATTCTCTAATTTGTGAAGAGTATTTCTTTCTTCCATCCACTCTTTCTGCCAAATAATTTTATAAAAACTTACTTTCAATACTGCTTTTGCTCATGGATTTTGTAAAGTCAATGCTTTTTAGGCATCATTTTTACCAATTTTTCTAACCCTTCTTTTCTACTAGAGTGTGTAGTACATATTTTTAATGCATTTATTTTAGTACTAGTTTTAAATCATTTGTTTCCTATAATGTGAGAGCATTATTTACTTATTTCTTTTATACTTATTTAAATACAACTATATTTTATCAAGTTTTTAATTATTAAAATTGTTCATCTAATGAAAAATATCATAATGAATAAATATCATAATTAGTTTCTTATAACTCATGATGTATTTTACATTTGCAGAATTAATTCACTTGCAAAAAATGAGTAGATAAATTTATTTTTTCCTGCTTCTGAATGCTTAAATTTCTTTATCATTTTCCTTAAGGGGTTGCTGTCATTGAGATAGATTCAGGTTTCAAGCCCTAAAGTACTCTAGTGTTCCTTTTTTATTTTACCTCTTATTTTGTGTCTGATAACTGTATGACTTTGTGTGATTCTGACCTTGTGCCATTTAATTCAGCATTCAGTTATTCATTACTCTGTATTTTTGATTAATAAGTATTAATACCTTTGTCTTTTTAAATTTGAATGATAATTCAGGTCAATTTTATCTTACATATTTATTTTTTATGTTTAATCCTTTAGTTCTGGAGTTTTTCCTTTTTACCAAATTCGTTTTTTCCCCCTACTCATTTTCACTTAATTTAAGTTCTATCGAACTTTACAGGAATTTATTTAGGACTTCCAACTCTGGGTTCTGTTTTGCGTTTGTTTAAGTGTGTATTTAAATCTAAAAGGTTAGTTGAGGATTAGATTTTGTAAAAGGGTCAGTTTTTGAGGTCCAGATTTCCTAAAACATCCTTTTTCAGTAGTCGGCAGTTTTTCAGATGTGAGTGAGCAGACCAATATTTGATTGTGTAAGTTTTTAAGGGTAAAAAGTTTTTCTCAAATGTCCAGTTTTGGTGGTTTGACCTATGTAAACAATGCAAAACAGTCCTAAAGTGTTTAGTGACTCTTGTCTTATTAAATTGGAGCTGAAGATTTTAAATTTGAATTGTTATTTGAAATTTGTTTCAAAATTGTTTATAGTATTAAAAATGGACTAAACAGTGTTTAGAGTCTTGTTTAAGAAATTACAGGATCAAATTATGCCAAATATTAGTTTTTTTTTAATGATTATGTAAAAATTTTTATAGATGAAAAAAAAAAATTTGTACTACATATTTTGTTTTCATTCTTTTGTATGTAACCTGATAACAGTTTGATTATGAAATTTCATCCAGTAATTTCTTAGTTTCTAGGCTCCCAGCACCTCAAATGTAAAATGCTTATTGCAAAATAAATCTGTTGGAGCAGTTTCTGGCAATTTAATTTCCTCCTCTAATCATAACTGAATGAACTCAAAAATTGGAATAGTTACTAGGCCTCCAACAGGTTTATTTTAAAAATGATCTGATGTTCTTCTGTTCACTGGTAATTTAGATATATATCTGAACATATTCAGAACGTGATTATAATTTAGTTGATGTTTTTCCTTTTTGACATTTTAGCATGACATTTTTAGATTTGTGCTTAGCAAAAGATGGAGACACTAGCTCGAGACTAAATAATTGCTCAATTTTTATATAAAAGTTTATTGACTAACACTAGTCTTCAAGTTTTGAGGCTAAAACTCTGATACCTGTTTTGTAGGTGTCTAAAGTTTAGTTGGCTTCTTTTATTGTATTGGATGAGTTATACAATCTTGTATCTCATTTTATTTTTAAGGAGAGAATTTTGGACTTGTAGTATTTTTAGAATTTTAGTGGTTTGATTCCTTCAGAATTCTTCCAGCTGCATTTAGCCATTGATTGAAATAAATAATGTATTATAGTATATAAACAGCAATGCCAACAACCTCTGATTATAAAACTACAAAATGCCAACAGAATATTTTTTAACTTGGTCAGTTTAATGTAATTTAATTTAACTGAATAATTTTTAGTTAATTAGGAAGAAAAATCATGATTAAATAAACTTAGACACATGGGCTTATCTGATAATGTTTAAAATATGACAAGTAAAAAATTTTTAAAATTAATTTATGCAGTGTTAAGCCATCATTTTTGTTATATAACTTTATGATTTTTTTCTCTCTATTACAGTTCAAATTCATTAATTTTAGAAAACTCAATTGTATCATTCTAGTATTTACTTTTAAATTTGAGTTATGCTAAAAATTATTAAAATTATTTATATTTTAGCATTAATGTATAGTGCTAAATAATATGAAATATATTTTAAAAGGAATGATAATATTTTCGTATAAGTATATATTTTATGTATTTAACATACTGCCGTGCAATAGAAAAAGCTATGCAAGCAACAAAAATTTCAAAATTGAGATTTTTATGTATTTGACTTTCTTGTATGATAAACTACTTATTAAAAGCGATATTTTTTTCAAAATTCAATTTGGTTTTATCAGTTTTTTTGAAATTCTATTTTAGTGTTCATATCATAAGCAAAAAGAGAAATTAGTTGTCAAGCCACTTTTCTTGAAATCTATCTTAAGGCACTTGCGTTGTTTTTTTGACTGCATGGCAGTATAATATTTTAGTAATTACTGTAAATATCGGTTAAAAGAATTTGTATTAATCAATCAATCATTTTTGGTGTCTGCTTGATTTGAAGTGCAATTATTTTTATCATTACCTGATTGTTTATGGGAGAAATAATAATTTTAGTAATGAATGTTAAAAAAGTTAATTATATACAGCTCTAAGCAAATAATTTTAAACAGTTGAATGTATGGAATTTATTCTACATTTTATAAAGTATTAGCTGCCAAACTTCACAGAATTGCATGAGTAAACAAATAGATGAAATATATATATATATTTAACATAGTTTTTAATGTATATTCAGTTGTGAAGTATGATAAAAGAAGTTTGCTTTAGAGAATGTTATTGTGCAGTCAGACTTTTAATCATTTTTCTTCTTTTTTCCTGTTAATATAGTTGCATTTTCTGTATCGATCAATCATAGTAAAATTTTTATTCAATGAGAAATAAGATTTATTTTAGTGCTTAAGTGAATGATTTTAATTGAAATTTAATCATTGATATTAAAATTTTTATTATTTGCTTGATGCCTGTCCTCCTGCAAAAATTTTATTGAAATAAAATTTTATCACAATATACAGTACAGAACCCGTTATCCGGAAATCAGAAAACCGGAAAACCAAATAACCGGAACAAAATTCGATAAATTTTCCCACCATTATAAAAAAAAAATTTTTTTTTTCCTTATGAAATTTTAGGATTTTTCGTTCTTTTTTGAAAGATGTTTACCTTACCATCATTTTGGAAATAATCATTAGTGTATTGCTCCATCGTTTTTTCTTCTTTTTAAGATTATTTCCAAAAAAAAATTTTTTTTTGTTGTGTTTAACAATAAAAAAACGGCTTTTTGTAGCGATTCAGAAAACCGGAAAAATCAGTTATCCGGAATAGCGATGGTCCCGATCGTTCCGGATAATCGGTTCCCTACTGTAGTATGATCTATCTGTTTTTATTTACATCTGGAAACTTTGTTAAATGAATGTTTTATAAATATTTATTAAAAAAAGTTTTTTTAATAAATGAATTTAGAATTGTTAATATTAATTTTTAAAATAAAGTGTGTATAAATATTTTTCTTATCTGAAACCTAATTACTTGTTTGCTCTTAATTGCTTTTCATTTTTTTTCTTCTATTTTATGTAGAAGATTTATATTTGATTGAAAAATTATTTGACCTGACTGTAATATACCTCTTGATGTTTCTCAATTCCAGCTGCTTTTAAGGTTTTTGAGAATTTTAATTTTCTAACCTAAATGAAATAAAATATTTTACATATAAATTGATTTGCTTAGAACTGTTTAACATTGCACTACAATATTTTAAACATTTCAAAGCATAGTTTATTGTTTTATATAATGCACATTTCATTAATTTTTGAACTGAGCAAGTTTGAATAAAATGAAATTTGTGTGAATGATATACCATTGTAGATAATATTTTGCATAAATTATTTTTGTACAGTTATAAATATGTGATAAATGCTCAAAATTATCTGAAGTCGTATATGAAAGAGATTTTTTATTGCTGTAAATTTTTTAATTGTGAAAAATGATTATGTACTGAGATTGTTTTCTTCCATAAATACACTGCCCTGAACAGAAATCAGACCTGGCATCATCTCGGCTGATCCTTATGTAAAATGTCCTCCTTAATCTGAATATGACTTCCATTTCCCCTCTTACCCACCATTATTTAGAAACGCCTCCCTTCTATGCTCATTTTCGACTGTAAAATTATTTATATGGATAATTTTATGAACATAATTTATGGTCTTAAATTTTTCAAGGAAAAATCAAATAAAAATTAGCATTTTTTTAAAATTTATTTTCTGTGGATTTTAGGCTCCTTATTCAGAATTTTAAACCCAAAATAATAAAAATGTTTTGTGAATGTTTGATGAATGTAGAGGAGATGTTTTGAAGCCCTCGCCAAAAAATTCAAAAGCTTAACTGTATGAAGATTTTTATTTTAAATTTTGCACTAAATTGTATATTACGTACTTGTAGTTGCCTTTTTTTCCAGACTTTTCAGAAAATTTTCTTTTTTTTTTCTTCGAAATAGTTACATATTTAATGATTTACTTTTAAATTCTTGATTTTATATTCTTGATTTAATAAATATGGTTTAATAGAAGTGATCACCACCGCTACATATTAGTGGTGGTATTAATCTTGATCACCACTGCATATAAACAAATTAAATAAGTAAATAAAATTCTCTCATATATGATATGACAAGCTCTTTTTAAGTATAAAAATGTTTCTATTTATAATTGTCAATTTAATTTTCTCTTTGCTACTACTGCAGAATATCCTAAAAAAAAAAGTTTCCAGTTGTTTGCTATGTGTGTTAAATTTTTAAACTTAATGATTTTGAATGAATAAATAATCTTTTTCCCCTTTTGTGAAACAAAATCATTGCCATAAAATTATCAAAATTTGTCAGATTATGGTGGTAATTTTACATCTGAAAAAGTACTAATAGTGTCAGGATTCTGAAGAATATTTCTTTTTGTTTGCAGAGCAGTGAAATAATTTTTACCATACACATGTTCAATGGTCATTGTATGTATAGTATTCAAATTTTTATATTGTAATATGTAATTTTTTTTTAAAAGATCTTAACATTTTGCACTGTATAAATTTGCACTGTGACATAATTTTCAATTAACTTTTTTTATATTTTTATTTGAGGAATACTCAGATGTTTTCTAAAAATATTGATTTTTAAAATATTAAGTTCAAGGAATTAATATAAAATTATACTTTGTTTTTTATGCGTTAGCCTTTTTGATTAATTTAAATTCCAAGTGAAATTTTAAAATGTCCTTTTTTTTGATAGAGAAATCAGGAAATCTGTAATTTTGTTTCAAGGAATTGTTTACTGATTTAAAAATTCAAGTTACTAAATTTTTATCTTTTTGTTAACATCTAAAATTTATATAATTCTTCTGAATAGTATTTTTTGTTTAACAACATTCATTATGTAAATCACATTGAAGCTAATTTTTCATTTATTTCCCTTTGTAAAGTTTANAAGGCTTATATATATATATATATATATTATTTTCTATAATTGTTGGTTTTCTTAAAGAAGTGATTGTTTTGTAAAAAAATCATTTAGAAACATTTGAATTTTCACAATAAGATAAACAGTTAACCTATTTTAAATTATATTTTGTTAGTTTTTTTAACTGGAAATTAATAAGCATATAAAATCTTGAATTTTTAACCAAACATTCATTGAAATATATAAATAATAGTAATTACCATTTTCATTTTCTGAAGATGCTTTTAAAAGGTAGTTTTCAGAATTGCTAAATTCATATGCAATATTTTATCTCTTAAACATAAATAATCTAAATGTCTTTTTATGTGAATATAATTTATAATTAAAAATCCAAATAATTGAAAGGTTTGTTATTCAAAGAGTATTATATTGTTATGTATTAATTTTTTTTTGTTTAAATAGGTATATCTATGTTTTAACACTTTATATTTTTGTTAGTATTCATGCTTTTTGTTAGCCTGCTTTGTGATATTTTTTTTAATTGTAAATTTTTTCTTCCTTATATTTTTTTCAGATAATTTGTCTACTATGATTCTCATAAAGAGTTTTTTTTAAAAAAAATAATTCTCCTAACTGTAATACTGTCATTTTTGCCGAGGTTTTTTTTGTTCCTATTCTACTATTGCAAAGTAGTCTGGAGGAATTAGTAATCTGGTTTTTATATAGTTTAATGAAATATCAAATCAGGATCAGCATTTTTCAATCCATTCGTTAAATTTACTAAGCCCTTTATTTTAGTTAAGTTTTGACATGTTATCATTATTTATTTATAAAGTTTTATTTCTTTTTATTGCATTGCTCGTATTTTTGTAACGATCAGTCTTAATTAATTATTAATTTTTCTCGTTTTTTTTTTTTTTTTTTTTTTTTTTTTTTTTTTTTTTTTTTTTTTTTTTTTT